TAATCAAATTCGAATGATGCGAGAACAGTTGTCGTTGGCTCGGGAGAAAAAAGAGTTCCGTGGTGAATAATTGATGAATGGAAGTGTCAGACAACAAGAACATATTTCACATGATGAAAGCTATTTGAGTTGCTTTTATGTTATATGTGGTATCGTTGATGAGATGATATGGTTGAATATGAGAGTAAAGAATAATAGAACCACGGATGATGACAGCAAGTCAGTAAGCAAAGCAAAGGGAGACGAAGTACTAGTATGCAGAAAATTTTTTGAGCATGAAAATTATTTCGAATACTCAACCCAAACTCTTTTATTGTTTACAATCGAAACATTCCTGCCCTTCACTACGTTCAGAACAAATCTTTTCAATTCTTTGAGAGAAAGTGATTCCTAGGAGCAGAAGGAAGCAGGTATACCGCATGAGTAATCAGAAAATAAGTGCGGTCAAAAATAAGACGTTTATCTACCATCGAAAAATACCTTCGATTAAAATACTGCTGGACGAATACGGATGGAGAATATCCCTGGTTAAAATACTGATGGATATTAACCATGGCATCAAGGACGACATAATACAACAGGGCAATTACATGTGCATAATACTGGTCATCAAAATACCGTCGGAAAAGTAAATGAGGAAAATACTGACCGACGAATATATGACATATTTTACTGCTCGACCAATACTGTCGGATGAAATACCACTGGCAAGATATGGACGGAGAATAATGTTGACAAAATAATGATTGAAATTAATTATGATAACAACGACGTACAATACCTTCGGATTGGTTCGGATGAAAGTACCACGAATTATTTTCATCGATACTTTGTTGAATAAGACTTGTTGATTTTTGAAATATTTAGAAAATTAATATTTATTTACAAAAATTATAACAAAATGCAAATTGATTCAATTGCCACTTTAACCCAGATGGCAATGAATAGCAAATACAGCTACATTTAGACTTGACTTTGCTGATATCTATTGCTGATAGCATTAGTTGTGGAATGCATTTGAGGTGATACATATAGGAAACGTTATCCATGTGTTTCACTTCAAAGATCAAGGAACTAAGAACTACCTTATCAGTTACTTGTTTAACGAACGCAATGTTCATTTCTCCTTGATCCGTTTCAAATAGGACAAAAATGTCTTTTTCAAGCTTGAATTCTGGTTCTTTTGCTCTTGGTATCAATTTTCTGCATTGAGGATATTTTGTAAAAAGAGCTTTCATGACCATTTCTCGTTCAGAAGCCCTTTTTTCAAGCTGTTTTTTGTTACTTTTGTCATTGAATTGCTTGTACGTGGAATGTTTTAACTCATAGAGGAGAGTCCAAAACCAAGTAACATGACCAATATCATCGACATCCTCAAATATATGACAGCCTGCATGAAAGTTTGGAAATTTACACTTTTCGGATCCAAAACAGTTTCTATATGCAACTCGCCACGCTACATAGAGTTTCTCGGCTTCTTTTAAGTCGTGGTCTGTATGGTCAAACCGCAACAATCGAACAAAATACTGCAAATGTAAAATCCAACACTCATATAGTTTTTGTCTCTTCTCCAAAGTATTATCTGAATATTTGGTATTTAGGAATAGAAATTTGTACCAAATTGGAGCGCTTATTGCTATAAATTCAAGCATCTCTGTTCCGGATAGTTTGTCAATATCACTGTACATTGTAATCCTTTTGCCATTCGGCAACCTTTCTCTCTCACAAACATCCAAAAAATCGTCCATGATTGTTGAGTAATGAATTGCTTTCATTGTTCTTTTAAATTGGGTTCGAAAAGTTCCTTGGATCTCTAAATGGAAAAAATCAATTAAGGCTTTGTGAAATGCATCCACAGTATTAGGATATTTTAAAAAAGGATTATCTATGATATGCAGAACAGGTAATTCTCGTAATTTTTGCGTTATTTTCGCTTTAGATAATTTCAAATCTTTGAATTGCATTTCTTCCCATATTAAGGGTTTAAAACCCTTGTCCTTTGTTCTGTCATTTGATCTTAAATCGATGCTATTAATAACAGTGTTTGCTTCAAATATATTTCTTTTCTCGAAATGCGTGACATACTTTGGATCTTCTATCGTAGACGCTCCAAATAAACAATCTGGTGTTTTATGTTGATTATCATAAATTCCTTCACAACGGCTACATTCTTCTTTCATGAGTTGCAAGGAATACATCTTCTCGACTGTGTCCCATAAAAACCCTGCAACAACAATCTGAAATTTTCTAGACTCACCTGTAGAGGGATCTTCTATTTCAATTATCTCCCCATCAAGGTGATTAATTTCTTTCATCAAATGGCTTGTCATTGTCCAAAAATCGCAGTGAGTTTTTGAGAACCCAAGTAAGCTTATAGATTCAAGTTTTCTCATGAAGTCGCTATTGAAATTCAACAAACTTGAGTACACTCCACATGTTGATGTTGACTTTGTTCTGAATTTTACAAAATCGTCCACATATATCAGCATCACAAGAGGGAATATATCACTTTGACACTTCTCCAAAATTTTGTTGAATATTTTAGATTGAAATGGTTGCTTGGTTGCAAACTGTTGTTGATGCTTTTCTCGGTTGAGACATAATTGGTTGACCAAATACGGATCCATTAACATGTTTCGAATAGTATCTTGTACAGAGTAAAGGATGAAATTATCATTGAACTGCATGGGTTTTTGGGGATTCAAATTATTTCCTCTTGCTTTCAAGGTATCATAGCTCACAAATAATTTCATCAACTCAGGACGGTCTTTAAATGTTGATTTCAGCATTTGAATCATGAAATTATATGCTTGTTTAGAAATTCCAAAGTGATTGATTAACATAAAACAACATAATTCTTCAAAACTTTCAAAAGGGTGATCTTTAGGGAAGTGAAATTCTTGTTCATGCTCGCACGAGTGATTTGATACATATGGCATAGATTGTTTCAGTTTCTCAAAAAATTCAAATATTGGAAATGGTGTTTGTACTAAATTCTGCACGTCAGCAGTGAGAGCTTCTAAGTTCATCAATAAACCACCAATATCACAACCTTCCTCCATAACAACCACTCCTGTCGTTTTCTTGTTGTTTTTTTCGTCATCCATTTTATCCTCATGTTTGCGTTTTTTTAAAAACGAACACAAATGACCACAATGATTTTTGATGATATGAGAATAATAATGATCAAACTCTGTCGTTTGTTCGGAACAACACTTGAAAACGGGGTTCTGAGCTTCATCTTTGTTTGAACATCTTTTCATGTGTTTTAAAAAATTGGATGCATGAGAGTCGAAGAAGCAATCTTTGCAAAAAGGACAAGTGAAGTAAGTTGTGCCGCATGAAAAACAAGTGCATTTGATAGAGGGATTCAAGGTTTTACACTTTGCCGAATTATGGATATACAATTCCAAATCATGTACATTGCATTTGTGGCACATTCTCAAGGAAACCACGTCAAAGAATTTGGATTCGGCCTTGTTCTGAAGCATGATATTTTTTTTTGTAAAGAAAACGCTTCCTGTGCGCGCTCGATCTGAACTCGCTTACAAAAACTTCTCTCCAATAGTTTCAAAGTTGACCCGTTTAAATATTTTCAAAAATCAAAACAAAAAAAAACCAATCATAATGCCAACTGACACTGTAAGGGGTATCAAGAAGAAACGTAATCGAAAAAACATTTCTTATATAGCTCCATCATTGAATATAACACTTTTTCAAGAAAGCAAGCAATTCTTAACTCAGAACAACGCAAGGTTTGTTTCTTGTCAATATTTCTTGGTAATCATTTCTTTCCATGAAGCATCAAACAATGTTGTAAATTGAAATTTCATTCATTTCTCTCCCAAGTAAGTTGTAATGTTGCTCCTATAAATTTTAACTCTTCAGATCTGTTCTAATCCCCAAACACAAGAGCAAAAGCTTCAACTTTCAGACACAGTGGTTACTCATGTTCAAACATTTTGTTCAAGTCTTCCAAACTATAGTATTCTTTCAGATTGTGATAAATCCCAGGTAGATGAAATAGTAAGTTGTGTTTGTTATTTGTTTGACTAAATTTCACAACAATCGTTTTTAGTTGATAAAGATATGCAGGAAACATATAAGTCAAATATTTGTGAACGCAAAAAAGAAGGCGAAACTTCGTAGAAGATCTGGAGTCTCAAAAAGCAAAAATTCAGACAACCTTTTTGACTTTGAAAACGACGAAGATGTGTATGACATCAATTCTGAGGAATATAAATTGTATCAAGAGCATTTACGTAAATCATCATCAGCGAAAATGAGACGCTCAAGACCTGTCAACCCTGCCAACGTTGTTGAGTTGTAAATTATGATGCCAATAAAATTTAAAATGCATTTGCAATAACAATTTTAAATCAAATATTGAACCAAAAAAATTTCAAATTGAATTAAAATAAAATAAGAAGATTTCCATCATTATCATCGATAGTAACAGCCACAGGTGTTGTGGTAGGTTATTTCAACAGTATTTCCGTCGTTATTTCGTTCATTAAACCTCCATTATTAGAATATTTAACATGATGCTTCTTCCGGCTGTATTTTGTGTCTTGGTGGATTCTTTTCATCAGTAACTCCCGACAGTATTTTTTATCTCGAGTTTTACCGTCGGCTGTACCTGCGGAAACAAGCTTGAATCACCTTCGAAATAACAGACCGCAATAAGGAGACACTACTTATGCACAATATGCATTCAATAAGCTTCATTTACTACCGACGATAACTATGTAAAATACAGACGCGATTCTCTGCTCCTAGGTTCTATCACCTTTCTCGAAGTAATTGATAATAATTGTTCCATATCACAAGTAATGTAAATTTTTTGAAAGTGAAAATTCAAAAAATTAGTCAACCAACCACTTTTATTGATTACAACAAACCTCAGTAAAACTCCCTTTTACTACCGAATTTAACCACTATCATTTCACAGAAGAAGAATTAAAGTGATAAGGTTAATGCTTTTGTTTTGTTACAACTTTTTATTTAGAATATTGTTGTTGAGGATGGTAATGATTCACTGAAAATGCATAGATTAATTTCACAAAATACACTGCAGGAAACCAACTCATGATTTGGTTCGAACTGCTTTGCAAACCACACGTAGAACTCACAACCATTCCCAATACCATAAAACAAGCAGCCACTTGAGATTGATATTCGGAGTAAGCACTGGTCAAGCCATTTGCTCCCAAACACCATCTCACCACTCCACACGACACTAACATGTACACGTATAAAAACCAAAAACAATTCCATGACATGTCAAAAAATCCAACCATGACTAAGGGTTGAATGCCGTGAGCGAGAAGAAAGAGAATGGATGCTTGGGTGGACTTTTGATAATACGAATTGGTCGAGTGGGTTAAATTTGAAATGACTCCTCCAATTAAATCACTGGTGAGAAGAAAAGCAATGATGAGTTGTGTCCATGTCCATGGTATGGACGGTTGTAACCAAGTCATTGCCACCAGGACTACGATGGAACAAAGAAAGGCCGTCGTGTACGTGAGAATGAGATCGATGGATCTTGGATTTTGTCCTTCAACGAGGGCAGAAAGAGAGACCATGATGATGAGAATCAATGTTGATAGAAACGCTGATGACACTTGTTGATGGAATTTGTTTTTTGTTTGAAAATAGTTTGCATGACAGCTTTGCGGAAATGATAGAGATTTCAATGCGGGCTATGACAACAATAGCGCGGAGTTCTGAAATGAGGAACAACAACCCCACGGTGACCCTTAGTGACTTGAACCTTCGAATACACGTCTTTAATACGATAACATGTCATTTCAAACCATGGAAACACTTGGTCTATGAATCTATCCTTGTAACTTTGGTGTCTTTGTGGATTTATTTCGTTGAAGATTGAGGATGAGAAAAGAGCAACAGTGCTAAAAAAAAATGCCCAATATTCCTCCTCCATCGGGACTCTATCGACAAGATGGCCCACCACCACAGAGAGGAATTAGCGCTTTTCAACAAAATCAACAAGTTAGAAATCAGCAACAATATCATGGACATCACCAGAATAGAAATTATTATGGTGGAAGTGGAGGAAATCAACCACATTATCAACAACAACAATACAAAAGAAGTTATTCCGATTACAATGAAGACCAAAGTTCTCAACATGTACATCCACAACAGCAACAACAATTTTATCAGAAAAAACAAAAGACTGATTTTCATCAACAGCAACATTTTGGATCGCAATATCGTGATCATCAACAATCTCATCATGATAATTATTCATCATCATCTACCTCACAATATTCTAGACAAAATTCTAATGGTTTTTCTCTAGGCTCATCTTCTTCAAATTTGCCTTTTCCAACAATCATTCCAACTGGCATGAGCGTTGAAGCCTTGAATGCACTTCTCATCCGAATCCGATTACATGAACTTAATGAACAAGGAGCACAATTACATAATGGATTTTCATCTCTTGACAGACAAGAAAAACAAAAACTCTATCGTGAAATTCAAAAACTTGTGTCTCTCGCCCGACAAATTAATCCTCTTTTTAATTATGAGAACCACTTTTCATTGATCAAACAATTTATGACAGAATCAGAAGCCTCAATGGCTGACATGGGAGAACAAGATGCATCAGCGGAGCAAACAAAAGAAATTAGTCGTAAAATTTATATTCCTGTTGATGAATATCCTGATTACAATTTCATTGGTTTGATTATTGGACCTGGAGGGTTAACACAAAAGAAATTGGAAAAAGAAAGTGGAGCAAAAATTGCTGTTCGTGGAAAGGGAAGTGTTAAACCAGGTAAAATTCCTGTAAAATCATTTGGTGACGAAGAAAATTTACATGTTCTTATTACGGCTGAAGATGAAGATTCTGTTGAAAAAGCTGCTGAAATGATTAAGAGGTTGCTAATACCAGTAGAAGAAGGTACTAACGAATTAAAAAAGGAACAGTTAAGAGAATTAGCAAGACAACGAGGCTTCACCATTGAAGGCATGTCAGATGCTGAGCTTGGAGCTGCTGTAGAAGATGGAGGCGGAGAATCTGCTGATTTTATTGCAAAACTTCAATCGTATGGCTTGAATCAACACATGCACGATCAACCACCAATTCCAGGTGTCACTTCACACGTAGAAATTCCAGGAGTGACCGACAACAAGAAATACATGAGCGGTGGCAAGTCAGGAATTGAGAGCGCTCTCGATAAGCTCAAGAGAGAGCTCTTAATGGAGGCAGATGAAATGGGTAAAGCCATCAGCGAAGAGCAGCAAATGGAAAATGAGAAGGTTGTTGTGGAGCCACCGAAAATTCAAGCACCAAGTGCCAATCCTTTCGATGATTCCTATGAGAAAACCTATGAACTGTATTATGAGTACTATAAGCAATATTTTGCTCAACAACAAAGGACCTACCAGCAATTTTTGGATTTGTTTCGAGGTTATGAAGGAGATGTGCCAAGCAAAGATCATGCTTCCTATTTCCAAACTGTGATGTGGGCTCTAAACGACCAACTCCCTCCTGTGCCTGGTAGTTTTGTCATTCAAAAACAGCAACCTTAATAAAACTTTGAATAAATATTTAAATGATTATTATTGCAGACTTTATTAGCCTTTATTGTCACGCACAGACAAGTTATTTGTTTTCTTCTTCACTAGTTTGTTGTTCTGATGATTCCTTTGTTTCTACATCAGCTTCGTTTGAAATACTGGTTGGATTTTTTCTCTCATTGAGAGCTTGCACCACTTCATCCACGCTCTCGTTGGCACCAACATCAAAAAGCACTCTGATCCACTTCTCTTGATTGGATGGGCTACCGATAGAATCCAGGCTTTCCAACGCACCGTAAGCTGTGCTAATCTCATCCCCTGCAGCTTCAGTCATGTACTTTTCAAAGGATCCCTTTCCATGCTCACTCTCATATTCAGCAATCATTTTTTCTGTTTCCTTCATTCTGAGTAATTCAGGCAAGAATGGTCCAATTGGTTCTGCATCAGGATCTAAACGAGAGTCGTAGGTCAAAAGTTCAATATTTTTCAAAGCCTCACTGTTTTCGTCAACATAGTAATCCATAATGGATGACGATGCCAATTCCATGTCGAATGCTGTTTTACGAATGGATTGTTTTTGGGCTTCTGGAACTGACGCTTGTGCAGCCATTTCGCGTAAAGTTGTTGTAAATGTTGCTTCAGTCCTTTCATTTTCTGGGAGGTTCATGTTCATTTCGTCTTGCTTCTTGACTAAATACTTTTTATAATCTCTCATGTCTTCAATAAAGTCCAATTCTAATTGTTGCAACTTTTGGAGAGTCTTTTTGAACATGTATTGATTTTCATCATCATCCTCAGCGAGCGTGAAATCTTTTTTAATATCGGCTCTCTGTGTCGCATATTGCACACCTTTAGAAAAAGTATATGGCTTTAGAGAATTATCATGAAGCATCTCATAATTACTCTTCTCATAATACTTGTGAATGTGATTGTTTCTACGAGCATCTTCAATGGCTTCCATAATTTGTGTTTGTAATTTGGCAACATCAATTTTTCCTTGTCCGATGAAAGGCATTTGTTCTTTATCTAGTTTCACTTTAATTTCATAGTTTCCTTTATAAAAGGCTGTAACACCACCACTTCTACCAACAGCTTCGCTTCTAGCCAATTTTGAAAGGAAATTATACTGGTTCCACAATTTAATAGGCATACTTTTGAGTTGCTCGGGTGCGTTCAACATTTTGGCAACAATGTCCTTTGCCTTTCTTCCCGTTCGTAAATAGGATTGTGGAATATATGAACTCATCTTGTTGTTTTTGGTTGATGAAATAAAAGGAATAACCTCTGGAGAATGATGAAGAAGAAGAAAAAACGCTTTGTATCACCGATGATGAAAGAGGTTTTGAAAATTTTTTTTAAATTTCCAAATTCAAAATCCACTGATGAAACAATTCCTTCAGTCCTTCAAGATATCAATACCTGATGGTGTCTCTTTCAAACTTTTAAGAGGATGAAATCATACTTCAAGTACCGCCTTGTTTCAAACGTTAACAGTTTTTTCTCAGAAAAAATGTTTCAAGGAGGGTCGAGGTTTGCTTCGGCTTCCTCTTCAGCATCATCAACGTCCACTCCTTCATCGGGCAGCGCGAGTAGTGGTGGATCGTCCACTTCTTCAAGTTCTGGTAGTAGTACCAGCTCGCCTTTTTATCCCAAGACCTTTGTACCATCGAGTGGAGTGATGAATAGTCTTGTGGGTGGAGGTACCTCGGGTAACAGCCTCACGGGATCTTCATCAACAACGAATCAACGATCGTGGGTATCATCAAGTGGTGATTCTTCTTCTACTGGTGGAAATATCCAATCTACTTTGAGTAACTCGACCTTTGCACCATCATCACCAAGTAAATTGTCTTCATCTTCATTTGCTTATCAGCCCAAAAATTACGATCCAAGTGCAAAAGCAAGCCCAAATGTGCAGGCAGTAAGTTTAAAAATGTAAACATGAATTGTTCATAGGTATTGTGTCATTTCATAACTGGGATGTAATGGATCGTGTTCCATCACAATTAATGAACTGATCATTTCGGATTAATTTATGATGCCCAAATCATGTTGAAATATTTCACTTTACTAAATGACCATTACCACAATTAAATGGAGCAGTCAACTCAAACAATGCAACAACAATTCTCTCAAAAGAGAACACAATACAAACAACAATATGAATTGCATCAGCAGCATTTGGCACACAAAAGAAACACACCTGTCACATCATCTCCACATTATCACCACCACAACAACCCAAACAATAGTTCAACAGCTCCATCGTATATTTTCACACCTGGTGATAATGACTTCCTTTCTGGATCTTCTAAATCAGCTTACCGTAGTATCCACAACTTTTTTGCAAATGATTCCATAAGAAGTGTTCTTTTGAATCGCAATTTTCTAAATTATATTCAATGTTTGGACGATTTAGATGAGGAAACTCGCAACCAAGGACCTATTTCGGAAAAACTTTCCCAAATTCCAAGCTTTATTGATCAATATCACTCGCTGTATCCACTGGATCGCGATTTTTTCAATGATTTTTCTGGTCAAGAAATTTATGCTTTTGGGGAATCATTCAGAGTTATTGACTCAATGACAGCAAGCCCTTGTTGCTTGAGACGTATTAGCGAGCATCAGTTAATGTTCGAGCAGGCATACAGTTTTGTGGAGCCATGGTTCAAAGTTAGACATCCTAATATTGTTTCCCTTAAAAATCTCATCACCACAGATCAATTCGGAACCAACAACGACCTTTTATTTATTTTCGATTTTTGTGCTGGAGCAGAAACATTGGAGGAACACTTTTTTATTGAGACATCTAGGGCCCCTTCAGAGGCTGTATTGTGGAGCTTGTTATGTCAAGTTGTTAGTGCTCTTCGAGAAATTCATTCACATAATCTAGCGTATAGAACATTTGCTCCGAACAAAATTTTGATTCTTCCAGGAACTCACAAGAGATTCAAATTGAATTGTGTGGGAATGCGACACACACTGGATCCTACAGATGACGACATTGCAAAGCAACAACAGAAAGATTTTAAGCAATTAGGTGCTTTGATTGTCGGATTAATTTGTACACTAAAGGATTTGCCTGAATCCCAAGACAGTCTTTCATTATTGAATTCTCATGAGGTATGTAGTGATTTATTGCCAATATTTTGTTGACAATTCTTAAAATGCATATTGTAAACTAATGTGTTAAGAATGCTGCCAAGTATTCCCAAGAATTGATTGATATAATCACGTATCTCTTGCATGGAGAGGTAAACATTAATACCTTAATCTCAAAACTTGCAATTCGATATTTGGAAGAGTTATCCAATACCTATGGATATATTGATAGCTTGGAAAACGAGCTGGCAAAAGAGCTGGAAAATGGTCGATTATTCAGAATACTTGTCAAGTTGAATTTTGTAGCACAACATGAAGAGTACGTATTATTTGTTTACTCATTCACACTCATTATTTTCAACATTTTTTAATGTTACTGTTTCGTCATTGCTTCAATTAACAACACATCACAACCACACAGTTTCGAGTACAGCACTAAAAACAGACAAGGCGTAGCAGATCGACAAATGATAAAATTATTCCTTGATTATTTATTCGTTCAAGTTTCTGATTCCAATCAATGCATTCTAGATTTTGGACACATTGTCGAAGCATTAAACAAATTAGACGCAGGAACCAATGAGAAAGTTTTATTGATGAGTCGCGACGAACAATCCCTAATAGTAGTTACCTATAAGGATCTTAAAAATTCCATTAAGACTCAATTTTCTAACCTTCTCCGAAAGAATAAAGTATAATCTTCTAGTATTGATAATATCAGAATGGTAGAAAACATGAAGATGTCCTGAGATCTGACAGCAGTGATAATGTTTGAATGTTGCGACTCTGTGCAGTACAATCTTTCAATTTTATTACAAAAAAAATTATTTGATCACCACCTCGCCCGCTTCTCATGGACCCGCAACCCTCTTCGCAAAGTTGACGCTTTTGCGTTAAAAAAACAACGCAAAAATTGCGCACCTGCAAAAAAAAAAATTTCGAAACAAAGCAAGGTTTATTTTTCATCACGGCTTCATTAAATATATTGATTTACGTTCTTGTGCATCGGAATGAAATAACTCTTCCCCTTTCTAGTAACAGTAACACAAGGAACCAGAGGCTCTTTGTTGGACACTTCAATCACAGACCTGTCTGACAAATTCTGCAAAGTCACTGTGGAATCCGTGAATGATTTGATTTTGAAGTATTTTGCAGGAGTACAAGAAGTATCAGCCACAACATCTCTCTCTTTCTTCAATACGAAATGACCACACACACATTCCGAAGGTTTGAGTTCACTTAAACCAAATATATCGCATAACTGCGCCATATCAAAAAACATAATAGAATACCTTGCAGAATTTGATGAAATGAACGGCTTGGTCAATGTGAAGTTTAGATTTTCCCCAACAAAGGCTGTATTATGTGCCAATGGACCATATAGGCTTGCATTTCGCACCATATCACTAGCTACATGGAAGTTCATTGTAGCCTTTGCAATACCTACCATCTCTTGATAATCCTCCAAAATACCTCTTAGTTCCTCATTAATTGAATTCAAATCAGCTATATTAATGGCATCTGTTAACTTGTCAATTACAACAACCATTCTCTTAATAATTTTATACTTCAACTCAATCATACTGAAATTCTTAACATCCTGAAGTAGATCTAGATAATAGTGAATAATCATATATATCTCCATTGCCTTAAGGTGTACTAAATTTTTGGAAACTGATCTCGGGTGTCTATGTAAGAACGAAGGAAATTTTTGCTTGAGATATTCCTTGTCGAACTCGTCCCAATATTGAAGTGGAATCATCTCCATCATGTCACGCATAATTCCTTCATACAAGTTATGCATTGAATCATAGGAGCATATTGTAGTGGGAGTTGGTTTCCAACTCTGGTCTAATATTGGAGAATATCCACGAACACCCCATGACAACTCTTTTCCCGAAATATTATTCCAAAAATGTCGATCTCTCAAACCAAAAACAATTCGTTGATTACTAGAAATGTCTCTCCTAAGTGGATATCTAACTTGAGTAGTTCCTCCTGGTAACTGAACAGGTTCCCCTCGAATCTCGCATAAATGGCAAAAATAATACCCTGATTTTTGAAATAAGAGAATTTCAGACCTTGCAGGTAAGTCAGCAATTACTCTTTCTAATCTCAATGATATTTGTTTAAATTGATCATTGAACACATTCAAATCATCCATCATGATTTTCAAACACAAATTGATTTCTTCTTGAGATGGTTTGTTAGGAAATAATAGCCACAAAAAGTTATTCTTGCGCTTCTTTCTTACATTTGGTTTCATCTCATTGAATGTGACAGAGAATTCGTAAAAGCTTTGCTGACTAGATTTAAACGGAGCAACACCGTCACCAAATAACGTCATAGTTTTTCCTCCTTCATCTACGAATTTTTTGTGAATGTTTTTGTAGATGTCTCCGTCACAACGATCTTGGATAAGTTGGGGATCACGATTATCAAGTTTAAATTGATCCAAAAATTGTGGCTCTCTGAATATCCTTTCCTCGAATTGGAATTTTAATGGGCGTAAAAAGCAATGAGTTTTGATATCTTTCCATAATTTCCCACATTTAGGACAGGATTTTTGGTCTGGATTTTTTTGATACGTCTGACAATGAGTGCACATTGGAATTTTCTTTGTCTTTGAAGACAAAAGGAAATACTTATAGAACCCTGTTAATGTCAGCTTATCTGAAAGTTCTTGTTTATCACTCTCATGAATGAGTTGAATGGCTTCTCGAATTAGATTTAAAACCATTTTGAGACAATTTTCAGAGAGAGAACTTGTTACTGCAAACTTGAGAATTTTTTTCATCAACGTATCAACATTTACATTGACATTATCATTCACAACGCTTGAAAATGAATGGGAAGAGAGAACTTCTTCATCTAGTATGCCATCATCTCCATCACTCCAATATTCTCTGAAAAACTGTAACAGGTCGTCTTGTTCTGATTGTGCATTGGATGGATTATTTTCATTCGTCGGAGATGAATCATGAGAACCTGAACAGAGATTTTCCAGACCCTCTGCACTACAATTACATTGTTGATTTTCTACTGTATGGTTCTGAGAAGAGTAATTTATATCTATTCCACCAATATCTAACAAAGAATCATCATCAATGCAATGAGCAACAGTCTTACGAAACTTATTTACAGGCTCATAATTTGGCTCGTGATTGTATTTTGAATTGACAATTGAACTGGACCCTTCTACAGTTTGGCGCTTCAAACCAAATTGCTTCATTATTTACAACAACACAAAACAAGAACGTTGATTGTTTAACGATATAGATTCCATTAAGTGTCTCCAATTACGTATATTCGTCAAGAAATATCTATCGTTCCCAAATTTTCGATCCACTTGCAAATTGGACATTTAACGGTTGTAAAACAAGATTCAACATTACTCAAAAAAATGAAAAGAACAAAATCACACCCTGGCAAGAATGCAACAAAGAAAACCAAAGCAAACGATAGTACACTTTCAACACAAGACACTTCCTCCGATTTAGAGCAAATAATTTTATTCGAGGCCAAAAAGCCAAATGAAAAACAAGCTAAGTTAATTGCGAAACACTCTGAAAATGCTTTATGTAATAGTATTCCTCAACTTGAGAAATATTTAGACTTTTTGCAAAACATTCACAACAAGGATATTGACATTACAAACAAAGACTCTGTCTCTGCAACATACATTCTGATGAATCAATTTCTCAAACAAGGAGAAAAGGTTTTTGTTGGTATTCAAGCTGGTAATCCAGAACGCTTGCGACAGTCAATTTTGCAAACTTATAGCTCGGACAAAGATTTTTAGGAACGAATATGTGCTGCAGTCAAGGCTATCAGTGTAAGCCTTTTGAAACAAAAAGGTTTAATTGAATCCACATGCCCACCTGTGAGTTCAAATCTCAAAGTTGGAGATTTAGTTGAAATTATTGAAAAGGGAGAGAATTGTTACTACAAGATTGGTAAAGGAAGAGTTCAATCACTCACTTCAACTAATTGCAGTTTAAATGACATTATATTTCACGTTCCATCCTTCGTTCAAGATCAAAAGAAGACGATTTTTGATATTTCATGCCTTTCATTAATTGAAGATCGAACCAATCATGCTCCTATGATTCAAAATGCTTTTTCTACGGTTCAGCGAGGATGTACTCCAGTCTCCTTATTTTCCATGAATTATGACACTGAAGTCGATGATGACAAAATTGATGACAATGAAGTTCTCTCTATAACTCCACCGGAAATTTCGGATTCAAGAACAAACTCAAATTCAAATGTTGAAGAGAGTGATTCTCCTTTGCAAAATGAGCCCAAGTCTACGGAACCTACTGATTATAAGAATTTCGCTAGTGATATCTTTTTCCTTCAGCAAGTCAAAGACCTCAGAGAGAAAAACGAGGCCTTATCATTGGAAAACAAACAGCTAAAAGAATTAATCATCAAATTGAATAAGCCATTGAACGCATTAATTGCTCTTCAATTACAATACCCGAATATTCTTCCAAGCAAAACAATTTCTGTCACATATGGTGCTAATGTGAAACAAATACCCCCAAATTTGGTGTCCAGAATTATCAACAGCAACAAGACGGCTCGGCTTGGCATTGTTAGCAATTATTTGTTTGATAAGGATTATGTTCTTTTGAAAGATGATCAGAAAGATATTGTAATTGATTGCATTTTAGAATGTACTGAGGTGCCATTGGATAAGTGGAAAGCGGAACGAATATTATTGATGAATTTAAGTCGAACTTTAAAACACAACGCATCAAAGAAAGAGCATGAATCCAAAACCAAGAGCAAGCAGTCGTTGTAAAATCTTGAATTACATAAAAAATTTGTTTTAAAAAAATTCTCAAAAGCTTGTAGCAGCCTCCACGTTCAACAATCACATTCATTCATCAACAGATGCCGCTTGTTCATCTTATATGCTGCTAGAGCTTGCTTTGCGTAAGTGTACGTGTTTCATTGATACAGGTATGATCTCCAAATCATCCAAAGATATCGACACGTTTCATGTTTGCTCGAAATGGAGGACTGTCTTTGCTATCATTTGCCTTTTGTCTCTTATAAAGGACAAAGCTGGCTTTTATTGATAAAGTTTTCTACGGTAAGCTCTTTTTCACAAAGTTGTTGTGAATTTCTTGAATCTGATCAACGATAGATGCTACAAAGGACCTTTAGCATCATCAAACATTTTGGCAAGACGAATGAATGTTATGTTGATGATAGGAGAAGATATTGTTGAACAAACAGATAGGGTTTGTAGTTATTGCTTGATTTGAAAGTAATTCTGTTCGTGCTGTTTGAAAAGGTAATTCGTTTCATTTACGGCCATTGTTATTGTTGTGGAGGATGATTAAACTTGTTCACCTGTTAAACCGGTAAGTATATCCAACCATGTACTAATATCAACAACATTATTCGTTGTTTATTTATTTCCTTCTAGAGTAACATGATCGGTAGGTTGTTAGATTTGCTGAGCAGATTTTTGTTTATTCAAAATGTTTTAGTTGCTTCTTCTTTATTAGTTGTTGTTTTGAATATCCATCATTACACTCTGTACATAGAATGCGTTGGTAGAGATTGGTTGAGGATATTGAAGCAAGTTCTAACATCCAGATAATGAAGGGATATCTTGAGGTAGGGATTGAATTTAATGATAATCAATTGAGGATAGGGATGATAAGACTTCAAGTATATTTGATCCACAGTTGGTTGTTTGATTATTCGTACCCTCTTGTCCCACTATGCATTGAGAGTTAAAGGATTGTAGTTGCAACAATAACCAAACAACCGCTTTCTTAACATTTGTCAATGGTAGAACTGAAAAAGATGTTATATTATCGAGTTATGGAATTTCAAGCTGAATTTGCTTGGTATTATGAAGGATTATTTGTAGGTTGTTAATTATTATGGATTGATTAACAGAGCTTTCAATGCTTTAGAGTTTGATGTTTAAACATTTTAAGCCTGGAGTGTATTTAGATCATCGAGGCATTTGTTTGTCATGAATAGGGATTGGTTTGATTGATGTTAAAATATGACTTGTTGTGAATAATAATGTCAGTGCAATAGAGATATCAAAACAAATGACAAATTGATATATCATTTATATGAATTTGAAGTGTGTTTTGATTGAACTATTGATCACTATGATTATTATGCCGCAACTGAAAAATATTTTAACTGAATGCAAAACCAACATCATGATAAACAAATGAAAAGATGATATGAAATACAAGTATTGAATTAGATGATATTTCAACCCGATAGCTTAAATTATTCAAAAGTAAGTAATGTCAATCCAATTCATCTTTCATTTACCATTTATATTCATTAAATTGGCTACTTTAGCTTTGTTGTTGGATATAAATTAGAGAATTTGGATGAATGAATGTGAGGAAAATGGATAAATATACAAGATTTGAAGATTTGGAGTGGTTTGAAGAGATTGAATTAGTGAACGATTGGTTGAGCGAGAATGAAAGAGAAATTTGAGAAATAAGGAGCGTTAATTTTTCGTCAATTATTTTTATTATGAAACATCATAATAATTGACGTTAATTTGACGCGTGAATAATGAAATCGTTAATGTGGAAAATTAACGCTTTTTATTGACGTTTTTTCGTCAATAATTAACGCTTTTCAAGCGAGAATAAAATTTTTTTCGTTAACTTTTTGATTGTAATTTTTGACGAAAAAACGTTAAAAATTAACGTCAACCGCGAGTAGCGGGTCTTCCGATTTGTTAATATCGTTTTGATACATCATTATCGTTAACATTGAAACCTCTACTAGCACCGGTCATCAAATAACAATAATTATTATCAGCCTCTAACACATCATTAAAAACTCAACCCACTCCATAATATTAGTTTATAATTTATTATTATTTGAAAAAAACAAATTGTACATTCAGAATGCAACAACACATGATGATGATGGACGAAGACGGTTCTGAATTTCAAAATAATTCCACTTCTTCGAATCATCATCCACACTCCATCAAATCAACCTCCACACGCAAATCCTCGGAACATGTAAATAGAAAAGATCTTGTTCGGATCATCATCCAAGCCTTACATTCTCTTGATTATAAACAATCTGCTGCTGAATTAGAGAAGGAATCTGGAATTGAATATCTCTCCAAAGACATTGTAAAATTACGTGAGAGTATTATGAAAGGCTCCTGGAACGAATGTATTTCCATTGTGGATGAGATTTTGAATCAATCCAACTGCAAGAACACCCATTTGGTGAAATATCACATCTACAAACAAAAGTATTTGGAGTTGTTGGAGAATGGAGAAATTGAGGAGGCCTTGAAAACTCTTCGGAATGAGTTAACGCCCATGAGTTTACCTTCTACTACTGGTTCCTTGAATAGTAGTAACGGTAGTAGTAATAGTAGTGGAGCCAGTAGCGGAATGAATGTTGGTGCCAACTCGAACAACAATGTTGTACTGGACAAGTCCACCCTCATGACTCTACAACAATTGCAATTACTTTCAAGCTTGTTGTTGTGTCCAGATCCTCAATCCTTAAAAAAGAATGCTTGTTGGGATGGTAAGAATGGAACGTCGAGAAGTCAATTATTGGAAGAAATTGAAAAGTACATTTCTCCGTCATTGCTCATACCAGAAAATCGATTGGAGAATCTTTTACTGAAGGCTGTGAAAAGTCAAAAAGGTAATGATCCCATGTTGATTTATGATGACAGTGATGAGGATGGAGATGTCATGAATGATGTCCATCATGATGGAATTCCTCTCCTCAATGATGACTCGTTCAAAAGGACTTCTATTGCGATACCCTCAAAATTGTTATGTACATTAGACGATCATATTGATGAAATTTGGCTTTGTAAATTTTCACATAATGGAGAATGGTTGGCCACCTCAGGAATTGACTCGTCTCTATTATTGTATAAGGTTTCGAATATTATGGCAGCCACTCAATCATCCTCTCACGATCATGACAACACCTCAATGATCTACTCACATAATCTAAAGCATAATGGTCATGTATTGTCATTGAATTTTTCACCGGATGATAGGTTTATCTTGACAGCCACAACGCCAGAGAATGAAATTTCAGTTTGGGACACTGTGGATGGAAAATTAATTTCTTCCTCGAAAAAGTCAGTGCCCATTGTTGCATGCATGTGGAACGACGATGGCTCTTCATACATGGCTGTGACAGGAGAGAGGAATTCTCATATATTCATTTGGGACGTTTCGTCAGTAGTGTCCACAAGCAATGGAGGTAGTAATCATTCTTTAAGCGACTCGATCAAGCTGGACACTCGAGTACAAGATGCCGCCTACATGGGCAATGATAATATTATTCTCGCCACCTATGACAAACAAGTGATTATTTTTAATTTGAGAGAAAAGAAGATTGTGGAACGATTGATTGAGAGCGAATATATCTCATCTCTCTTGATAAGCAATAATAGAAGATTTTTACTAGTATGTTTGAATTCTGAGGAGGAAGAACCATCTGAAATACATCTTTGGGATATTGCAGAGAAGAGAATCATTGTAACCTATAAGGGTCATAAGCAGACGAGATTTGTTTTGAGGCCAACATTAATTGGACATGATTATGTTGCCTGCGGAAGTGAAGACTCAAAAATTTATATTTGGAATTCAAAGACTGGGCAATTGCAGGACACTTTATTGAGCCATATCAATGTTGTCAACTGTGTGGCTTGGAACAAACATCAACAAATACTGGCCTCGTGCAGTGACGATGCTACTGTCAAAATATGGACAAATTAACGAATGGAACAGATCATGATTATTGTACTGGAAACATTAATAATACCTAACACATTTATAATTCTTCATCGAGTTGTATTTCATTAGGATCCAGGAGCTTTTCTGACACAACAGCCTCATCCAATAACTCAAAGTTTGAGGAAATTGGCAATTTCTTTGACAAGATCATAGTCGCTAGATCAGAGATTGCCTTAATCGCTCTTTCATCTTGAGGATAGAGTTTGAACTTGGAATAGAAATGTGATCGATAACCATTGGGTATGGCTCGATCAGGCAATAATTTTTGCTGAGATAACAAATCCTCTCTAAATTTGACATCTTTTTCTCGTCTCTGAAGTTGCAACAGTCTTTGTGCTTCAATACTCTGCAGTGCTCTGCTTTTCACTTGTTCTTTCTGAGTGAGCCATTCGTTTCCAAATGATAATACTTCTCTAGCATACTTGAGCCAATGCTCTTCTAATAAGGCACGATGTTCTTTGAAAATTTTTGGATACAATATTGTTTTCTTGAATTGAATTTGTTGCTCTCGGCAGTTGCTGAAACGTTGTTCCATATCTGGGTCATTGAGAACACTTCTTGTGTGGATTAAATGCTCGCCTGGCACTTTGTTAATGTATACATCTTCATTGCTCAAAAGTGCAATATCTAAAAACTCTTGATTCATAATTTCTGGAGCAATAACATGTAGTACAGCAGAAGAAATCATTTTTCTAATTTGATGTTGCACGAAACCATTTCCAGCTAATTTGAATCGAATGGCCCATTCTTCTTGATGATTACTGTCACATTTCACACGAGCTGGAGAGGCATAGCAATGATAGATTTGTCTCGTCATTGGTTCTCCATCATTACTCGAGCTTGACACGGTAAAATTATGAAACGATTGAAAGCCTTCAAATTGATTCAATACATAATTTAACTTTTCACATATTGCTTGCAATAGGAGTGTGTTCTTTTCCTCTTCTCCTTTTAACCTTGGAATATCCTCATTCCGTATTTTCATTCTCAATAATTCGAAAATTTTGTCCTCTTGCTGAGGTGATGTATCAAATCGTTTCACGAGATCCAACATGATTTGAAATGGCAAAATGTATTCATAACCACGAATAGACACTAATCCACGAGTATTGATTCTTCGGGAAACAACTTCCACCCGAAAAGCTTGTAATTGAGGGTCTGGAAATGTTTCTTGTTGATCCAAATTTGATTCATTCTCACTTTTTGAATTAATGACTTGTTGAATATAATCAGCAAAGGCTTCTGATGCATGTTCATCAGATCTATCCACAGACGACTCTACCTTCAAGGAAATGAGATTAGCCAGAGAATGAACTCCCTTATCAGTTCTCGTGCTTCTATCAAGCCTTAAATGATCTGGGTTTACATAATTACTTTCTTTTACGAGATTGTGTTTGAAAAGCTTTTTTGCAATAATACCTTCAATGGCTGTTTAAATGGGAACATGATGAATGATCAACAGCATGAATTATTTTGGAAAATTATAAAAATTGTTATTATTAGGAATTGATGACATGATTGATGAAATATAAAATTATAAATTTAAATAAAAGGAATAAATATGTATTGGAGAATTGATCATTACAGACTATAACATACTGTATTCGGGAGCAACATGTAATTGAATCTGAGAACCTTTTAACCCGAATCCACAGTAACCAACATAGGCCAAAATTCTATTTTCCACAAACGAATTTTTACAAATGATGAATGTTATATTTCATCATTCCGATTTTCCAAACATGTTCATTTCATCGTTTCAACATTCATGCATCATCACCCACCTTCGTTTTGTCATTTTTTTTATTGAACTTCCCAGGTTGAGCAGTCATTCTACTTTATTTAAATCAACAATTTGAACAAAACAAACAAATCGAACAAGGTGCTCAAAAACTAATTCTATGAGTAGTAAGGAATTGAAGAAGAATATTTCTTGCAACCTGAGCAGTCAATGAATTCGGCATTAGACCCAAATGATGAATGGAAAAGCGGCTAAATTTACAGGGAGTTGATCTTGGTTCTTGATGTTGTCGTTTCGTTTTTATTTGAATGCCATTACACCTTCCAAAGCTAGGGAAAGTTTCCTTACATCTAGCTCCAAGTTTAAATACTCTTTGCCATCTTTTGACTCGTAGCACTGTTCCAGCGTCCGTATGCCATCTTGTTTGAATCGATTGGAATACGCTTCTAAATAACAAACTTGAGTGATGAATGTTTTGTTTGCCGCAATGTATAGTGCAACATCATTATCCAAGTCATTGTGGCCAATATCCAAACTTTTTAAATGACATAATTTTCCAGTTGTTACGCTTTCAACAATTGATTGAACCCCTTGAGCTCCAATATCGTTATATCCCAACAACAGTCGTGTTAATTTGTGAGCGTTTGAATTATTTGCTATTAAAACGGCTCCTTCTGCAGTAATGTTGCAATTACCTAATCCCAAATCTGTTATATTTGTTAAATAACTACTTGACACTATTGCTTTGACACCTGATAGCTCAATACTATTATCTGATACATCCAGTCGTGTTAAATTCTTCATATATTTACTGTTCGCAAGATCCTGTACTGCTTGCCATGTCAACTGATTTTTGCAAATATACAACTCGCTCAAATATTTCAACCGTGAACATTCACACAACATCTTTGCTCCACGATCATACAAACAATTGTTTGAAAGATTTAAAATTTTCAACATTAAACATTGATTATTTAACAAAGTTCGTAATTGATCATAATGATCAATATTCATGGTACATTGATAATTTTTGAATTTTCCTTCCCAATGAAGCCAAGCAGTGAGTTTTGAATGAGAGCTCCGAGCTGTATAAAACCATTGTTTGGACACGAGCATACAAGATTGTCGGACTGATGATGCATCCAGAAATTCAAAAATAATAACAAGAAGATCTGTGATAAGACCAGGTGTTGCGCTGCTTATTTCAACGTTCATCTCGAGTGGGAATGAAATGCTGTTATTCATTATTGATTTTGGTTGGCCCATTTTTTTTCGAAAATGGCTTTTAAGGTGTTACAGTTTTGAAAGTGTATCACTTGATTTCGTTCAGAGAGAAGGCTAACCGACTCCGATTTCTCAGGAATTGGAATCATCATGCTCAATAACACGATCACGTACATAAATTTCCAAATTATAAGATCTAGAGAACATGACCCACAAAATTCAACAAAAATAATAAGGCTTCTCTGAATGTCATTGATAAGGAATCTCAAGACACGAACCAACTATTATTATTTTAACCCCCTGATCATTTCAATAACCCTCATCATCCTTCTTAAATTATCATGGATACTTCCACTCGTTCTTTCCGAGCCTCAACATGAGCATAGTTTGAGAATTTTCGGAGGTTTGGAAGCCTCCTCTCACGAATTTCCCTTCATGGTCAATTTAAGGTATTCGGGAGCGACCCGATGTGGAGGAACCTTAATTGCCAAACGATGGATACTCACAGCTGCTCATTGTGTGTTTGGAGTAGCAGAATCTACTCTATCGGTCATTATGGGATTGGATCGATTGAGTGAATGTAGTGATTCGTCGTTATCACCATCTTCCTCTAGTAAGAATTGTGTGTATGGATTGGTGAAACAAATTCATATTCATCCTCGATACGATGACAACTTGTTTGTGAATGACATTTCCCTTATTGAACTCGAAAATGAAATTCCTTATTCGAGTACGGTCCAACCAATTGTCATTCTCAATTCGATGCCAAATATTGGAGACATGCATCTTGTGGCAGGATGGGGATACACTTCATCGAAGGATCAAGTTTCAGATTCTCTTCAGAAAGCACATGTACCCTATGTCGCTGATTCAAATTGTATTCAATTGCTTCTTCAAATGAGCAGTGCAGCAGGCCAAATGTGTGCTGGAGCTGGTCAAGGTGTGGACACCTGCAGTGGCGATTCTGGAGGACCGCTGTTCATGAATTTATCTGGTCTCTATGCTCAAACAGGATTAACAAGGTTGGTTCTTTCTATGATCATGCAATCTTTTTGACAAGGTTCTCGTTGATAAAAGTTTTGGATCAGCAGGATGTGGAATCTATTCCAATAGAGGTGTGTACACTTCTTTGGCATTTCATTCAAGTTGGATACGTTCCAAGACGAACATGACTCTACAGGGGCCATATCTTGTGGAGTCATCCAGAAGTGTTGTATCATCATCATCCAACATCCACATGAATTCACCCTCACTGTTATTGACTGGTAATCACTCAATTTTTACTTTATTAATTTCTATTCTCTTCATTATGGTGATTGTATGAGTTACTGAGTATAGTTTGAAATGTTGGCGTCATTAAGTTGATTCCACACATGACTTGTGAATTTTTAATGCTACCAGTCAACACGATGGCAGTGACGATCCAAAGCAGACGTATACGGCCCATTATTATTACAATTATTTCGACGTCTGCCATCATGGAACATTCATTTAAATAATTATTATTTTCAAATTAATTCGTATCATGATGAATAAATCTTGGTGTTCGTTTTTTGTACATTAATTTACTTTGACATGAGGCACAAGCCAGGAATTTGTTGCTCTCCATTCCACACGCTCCGCATTTATACATGACAATTGGTTTATATTTTTCCTCCCGTTTCTTATTTTCAATGACAAATGGATTCTGAGAGGTCTGTGCTTGGAATGGTTTGGTGGATGGCATCATGGTGGATGGTGTTGCTGAAGAGTATGAGTGTTCCATTTTTTGTTGTTGAATTTTTGTAATTGCATTGTCGGAAGTTTTTGAAAAGGCACTCTATTTGAGGTCCTTGTGTAAGATGATTCATTGAACAAATGTGACTAATTCATGAACAACGTCTTATTCAGAAGAACTCATTGTTTTTCAATAATTTTGATTAAAAAATTACCATAAATTGACTTTTCAAAATTCATTACTTTTCGAGAGGGCCTTTGTTCCACAATAAACATTCGATGTGATTCCAAATCAACCTCCAAACCTCATCAATGATGACACTTAACCTGCCTACCCACTGAAGATTTCGTGATTATACGCGTTGTGCACCAGATCTGATTGGATGAGGTTTCAATATTGCTCCTCCTCTTTCAAAGCTAATTGTTGTTATGGAGAATGAATTTTGATGTAAAAATTGAAAAAAATATTGTTAGTGAAGAAGGCTTCTCCTGCTTTTTGGACAATTTTCATCGTCATCATCAATTAAATTCTTCTTCTTCTTATAGGCTCCGAGAATGCCCTTGTATGAACTTGTTTATTTAGTAAATGCTAAAGCTGCTTTACCTACAGTGGCCCAAGTGATGAAACGAAATGCTCAAGTGGTTTTTGAAAACAATGGAGTTATTCGTCGTTTGGACAATATGGGAATTTTACCTCTTGCTTATCCCATGTACAGACACAGAGAGAAACATTACAAGGGAAGATGGATTATGATGCTCTTCGATGGCTCACCAACTTGCCTTCAACAACTCAATGAACAAATTAGAAAGGACCAACAAGTGTTCCGTTGGTCCTTCTATAAACAAAAGGATCAATTCAGACAATCATATGATGAACAAATTATTCACGGTTCTATGTATAAAGGAGAGGATGTTAACTTGACTCCACAAAACACTGCAAAATTGGAAACAAAGAATATTACTTCTCAAACGATAGGTGTTCATGATGATGAATTACTCATCCAAAGTATTTTGAATGAGGAGGCTGCTAAACTTACATCGGAATCTCAACAAGAAAAACAATAATTGGAGTTTTTGAAATTATAATAACAAGAATCATACTGTTCCTATGTGACAAACATCATTTTGGAGACGATTTGAACTGCTCCAATGCATCTGCCTTCTTCCTTCCTTTATTTACCACTCTTCCAAACAATAAACTGGCGTACGTTCCTGATTATGTCATCCATGCGTTGCAATTTTATGTTCAAACATAGTCCAAAAAGCAATGCTTGGTACATGGCTTTCTGAATACTTTTTCATTAAGGATGAGTAATGCCTCACATTCACTACGTAGACCTCCAATACGGAACGCTCACATTGAATTGTTCATTTCAACATTGTTTATTTCATGTACTCGTCCATGAGTTGTCTTACATCTTTCAATTCATTGTACAAAATTCTGAACTTGTCAGCCGACAATTCAAATCGTTCATGAGTGACAACCGAGCCATGTTCTTCAGAGTGAAGAATTTTCAAGTTCAGTTGTACCGAAGGTTCATTCATTGACTTGAGGGTCGATGAGGATAAGACTAAATCTACTCGCCATTTCAATTCATCGATTTTTGGTACTATGCATAAGGGATTACAAATGTTTGTCGAGTACAAATGGACATGATGAGTTCAACCAAACGATCATTCAATGTAGACATGACATATATAGAGGCATAAATATAAATGACATTCCATCTTAAACTTACATCTCAAAGTTTTAGTCTTAAAATGTTGAATGAGCTTGTCCTTACTCGATTTATAGGATCTACAAAGAGACTCGCTGCTTTCCTTCGGTAAACCTATTTGTTGTAATTCCAAGGAGAGTTGTTGCTCCTCAACGTCAAACCTTGCAGCGTTAGAAATTATAAATAATATGGATGCTATTGCGCTTTTAACTTCTTTGATATCCTTACATGCGCCTTCAGTTCTTTTCAGTGCCTTATCGTACTGTTTAAAGTTGTTTCATTAGAGAATAATGTCCAAGTCGTAGAATGCAAGCCGTTTTCAAAAGATTGAATCAATGATCATCACGATTGGAGCAACAAATGTTGGATTATCAAATAAATGATGTCATCTTTAAATTTGTTTCATCAACCTACGTCAAATGTTTCCGATTCACAAATTTCCTTCATAATTGCAATTGAGAGAAACTTTAACTGAACTGAAGACTTAAGAATTTCAATGATCAGGAAAATAGAAAGATGTCCAGAGACAATGTGAAAATTCGTGTATCATAAAAATCCCAATTTGGAAATTAGAAAAATCTACCATAGTATTTCTGAAACGTACAATATTTGACAGAATAGCCACATTGGCCAAAAGCCAATCAGGAGCATCCAAACCTCCACAGAAATGAAATCTCTAAGTTCCGAATAATATTCATCATCATTATCTTGGTTGGATGAGATCAACAACTCAAACCTACCATTTTACTTCAAACAATCCAATCAAATTCTTTTTCTTATTTACTCTGACAATCAGTGTTAGTATAATCTCAGGCTCTCTCTCTGTTTATAATGTTCTTCTCTAATATTATTCAAAGTCTATCTTGATTCGGAGGATGAGGAAGAAACAATATGCAGTTTAAAAAAACTTTGAAATTTTTTTAATTAAAAAATTTGGATTTGAAAAATGCTTCGTTCGTTTGCTTTGAAGGCTTCCACAGCAAAGAAGGTCTCTTCATCATCATTTTCAAGAGTTTTATGTGTTTGTTCCATCAATAACAATATTCTTCTCGGTACAACAACAAGTATTAATTCTCATTCTTCTTCGGGAGTTTGGAATATTGGAGCCGTAGCTACAACAGAGAATAATTTACGATTTTATGCTGAAGAGCAAAGACAAAAGAATCCAAAGAGTAAACACGGAAAGGAATCAAGTTTTAAACGTCTGTGTAAGTAGAATTGTGATAATGGTCTTTTGATGATATCATGATTTGACTACATGAATACACACCACTTGATGAAACGAATTCACTTCAATTTAATGATGCCAATGATTACTTTCGAATTATTATTACTACCTGTTGCGTTTTTATGAATGATTCGGGCCATGGACGAATACTGTGTGTTCGTACGTATCATCGTTACGGACCGATACCTTTCTGGCAAAATTCTCGACAACATGAATGTACAACACACATGTCCGAACACGAATTCACAACATTCACATTTGAAACTATTAACAAAACATTACCATGATGCATGGTTGGCATCATTGTCAATTTCTTTAATCCTCAATGGAAATAATTATAACAACAGCCCACGAAGAATGTGTGCAAGTTTATGATTATTGGAAGAGCCAAGGCAAACAACTTAATTTCACTTTCTATAGACAATTCATACAACATTGCAATAATCTATGCTGGGACAAACCAGAATACCTCGAAAAGGCCTTCTCAATTGCAGATGATATGAAAAAAGATGGAATAGAGTGGAACCGTGAAGTTTACTTTATGCTGATTCAATGTTGTATTCGTACAAGAAAACCAGAGAATTTAGATAGAGGATTTGCCCTCAAAGCAGAAATGGAAAAACAAGGAATTACTTCTTCTCAATTAATTTACAATGCACTTATTAGAGGATGTGCTCTGCTCGACCAAAAAGAAAGAGCAAAACCGGTTTTTGAAGATTTAATGAAATTGAAAGAAGTTCCTCCTGGAATTAAGTTTGAAGATGTTTTCAAATATTTGAAGGAGTTGTAAATCAAGCCAGAGCTTGACAACAAGCATTGAATAATTTAAGACTACCATAATCTAGAGGAAAGTAAAAAACAGTCACATCAACATCTCAAAAATTCTTTACCAAGTTAAGAAGTTTAGCATGTGAATCAATGTCATTGGCCTGGTCGATTAGCAATTCGCACAATAATAATGGAAAGTTGAGGTCACAGAAGTGATGAGGATTGCCTTTAAAAATCAACAATGCCTTAAAATATCATGCTTTACTGTTTATTCAAGCTATCATAAATCGATCATTCAGGTGTTTGGTATTACACAACATCGTCGTCTTGAGATGGTGCAAATTCATTCACCACAACTGAATCCAAACCAGGAACGGCTGCTCTAATTTCTCGTTGTTCCAATTCTTTCTTTTGCTTCTCTTCAAAGAACAAATCGCTGGTATCCGCGTCCTCTCCTTGATATTCTCGAAGAGTCACTAAAAAGTCACGCAAGCAATTTGTGAATTCTTTCTCTTGATGAATATATCCAAAGAGAGTAATAATAAATTGCTGTAAATATTGGGAATTGAGGTTCTTGAAGCTTTCAATTAAAACATCATGAATGTGCTTCTTAACGAATACATCGTTGGGCATCTGTTGATTTTCAGTAAGTGGTACCGTTATCTTGTTGGTGGCAATTACATAAAGTAAATGGTGAATAATAGTAGTTTGCATCTTGAAACCAGACTGATGCAATGTATCTGTGTAAATATAAAGAACATCATCAAAGATGGGAATGTAAAATTTGCTGTAGAATTCATTCCTCAGTCCATCATTATTGATGTGTTCAATGTTTGAAAGCATGTCTTGTAAAATGCCAAGTCCTGTTTCGAAAATATTTCTGTGAGTGTGTTTGAGAGCCCATAGAATAGAGTCTACAATCAATTTGAATCCATTGGGAGGAATGTGCAAGAATGATTGGAAGCAATTCTTGTTGATTGACTTTAACAAGGTGAAAAGATTCATTCTGTGCTCAGGATAGTCCTCAAAGTTTGTGGTAATCATTGGAAGTGTACATTCAAGTACATATTCTAAAATTGTTGGAAGGTAGTGATCGATGGCTGTTTGAAGTTTGTCCATGGCAACAGAAAGGAGTGTCAATACTTGAGGATCTTTTGCGTCGGGCACACTTGCCTTGTAGTCACCAAGAGTGGCATCCAAAAGTGGAGGTAAGAAGGAAGTGACTAACATTTGGGTGTCGTCAGTGTTAGCAATAAAGCTTTCTACGAGCTTTAAAGTTTCTCTCTTAATGGCTCTCATTGCTCTGACGTTGCTGTGGGAGGCTGCTCTCGTACCAATCTTTTGGATTTCATCAGAAATGAATTGGCTGTATGCCTTGTACACAGACAGCATGTCTCTAAAGATAAACTTCATTTGATGGATGAAAGCATGACCCACTGATTTGCATGTGGCAACATTGGTTTTCAAAATATTGGTCAATTCTTTCAGAACTGTGGTATCTGTGAGAGACTGAACGTTTTGTGCTGCAAAAGTCATGATGGCTTGCCATTTTGTGTTGGGCATGGACATGAGCATTTGGAGAAGTCGCTCTTGATCAGCTGGTAAAGCTGCTTGAATCATGTAACCAACACCTTCATAGAAAACATGAATGTGTGCAGGTTCTAGATCTGAAATGTTTGATTTCAAGTTTCGGAGAATTCTCTCCAAGAACATGATATCTTCTCCCTGATGACGTTGAACAAACTTTCTCTTACATTTTTGAGCGAGTTTCACAAAGGTTTCGCAGGCCATTTCTTGCACTCCAGGGAACTTTTCATGCATAAATTCAAATAACTTGTTCACAACGGTTTGTAAAAATTTCCAATGCGCAATCAAAAATCTTGGATATTGACCCACCACATACATGATATTGGAGGCAACTACAGCTTTGTTTTCTTTGCCTTTTTTCATTTCACACATGTTCAACAAATCCTTGATTACCGTCACAACAAATCTCTTTTCATCTTTTTCCTCCATAGCACCACTGATTGAACCGATAGCCCAACACAACGTGTTCAAATTATGCCAAGACCATTCATATCCGTTGAGTTGAGCACGCAGTTTCTCCAACATGATTTTCTCAGTATCTATGTAATCCAAGTGAGTCAAATAAATTAAAGCTTCACGCATACTCTTGTAAAGTTGAATGGCGTCAACATCTTTCATGTACTCTTTCACAATTTGTCCATTCTCATCCTCAACGATGATCACCTCCTCTGGTTTGGCCATCTTTGATACCATTACTAGCCTCACTTGTGAGAGAATTCGTGAGTAAATTGCTTTTCTTGCAGAAGTAGGTCTATTTAGCATCAGAGGTTCATAGAGTGTAGTTTGATTGGCCTTCTTCTCGGAAAAGTACAAGTCTCTCGAGAAATAAATCCAATAATCGAGACAATTCTTGAAAATTTCAGTTTCATCAACTTTGGAAATTTCAACAAGATATTGATGTCCCTCAAGTACAAGCTGTGTGTGTTGATCCTTTTCTACTACAGCCAAATGGTTTGTGAAGAAGGATGTTAAAAAGAGCCCTAAAATTTGAACGAACTTTTGGTCATAGTCGCTACCATTCTTGTACGCGCTAGGTAAATTGGTGCTAGGTGGAAGGATATTTGGCATAACCCTCATAACAAAAACAAAGATTAATTCAAACTTTTCATCATATTTTGGATCTATCATGCTTACAATCTCTGTGAGGCAACTCAGTGTGTCATTTCTAAACTGTTGGACTGGTAAAAATTTGGTAATGAGAACTTCGAGCATATTCGTTTCAAAAATGTAAGGACGAGGAATCCAGTTCAAAAATCGCAATAAAGTCTGTAAAGTAGCGCTAAGTAGCGAAGGTTTTTGTGCGCCCTGTAGAATGGCCTCACAAAGTTGATAGATTAAGGAAAATTCATTTCGGAAGCTTTCACTGAGTTGGGTCATCTTTTTGAGAGTCATTTTTCCTGCCGAAAAGTCAAACACTTCCTCGCTCAAAAGCTTGAGAATGTTCATATTATTTTCGCATAGATTTTCATTCGAAGGACTCGAGTTGACAATTTCAGGAATAAAATTACGCCAATTTTGAGGCCATTCTTGTTTCACAATTGCTACGAGAACTTCGTTAAGCTTATTGATGAAAAGTTTGTGACTTCTAAAGTATGCCTCGTCTTTTGAACAATTAATCACAGTAATCACAATAAAGTTTTTCACTCCTTCTCGTTCATCTTGAGGAAGAATTTTCCATCTTGTTTGAACAACTTTTAACAGCACTTGAAGCGCAAAAAACTTTGAATTTTCATTATTTGATGTTTCCAAGATTTGCTTGACTCGGGTCCAAGCACTTGGATGTTCTTGGAACTGAGTGAGAACTCTTTGTGCCGATTGGATCTATCATGTTGTTTGATTCGTAAGAAAATATTTGGTTATGTCGGATTGTTGTTGAATACTTTCCTCATCACGACAATTTTCAAACTTACCTCTTGAGGAGAACCTCTGTAGAGACAATCAATAACCATGTCCAACAGGCCAACATTGAAAGGCTCATTGAAATTTAATATAGCTTCCATATTTGATTAAAGTACTATCAATGAATATTAATGATGATGAATTCGGTTGCAGCAGATTCAATCCCACCACGTCGTCGCAATATTTGAAATGTTGTTGTTGATGATGATGATGATGAAAAATTCACCAAGTCAGTATTACTATTTGTATTGAAGTAAAAATCAATCTCCGTAGTTTGTTGTTGGTATTCTTCGGCTTTCAAAAAAAACAATGATGAGGAATTTTGACCGACCGACGCTGCTTACGAGAGGGACAGTTGCTGCGACGTATTTTTTTAAAGTATTTTCGCGCCCATAAAAAATTCCTGCCGTTATTGTTGCTAGAATTCCTTCTATTGGAATTTTTCTGCTTGGACGTCGCAGCAACTGTCCCTCTCGAAGAAGATTCGAAAGGGTCTATTCGGAATACGTTGAGAATGTGGTGATTGATTATTTTGAATTATGATATTTCTTCTACGAACATGGTCTCGGAATGTGTTGGCAACGATGAATTAATTTACATGTATGTAACTATGTTATCAAAATGTAATTAGGGCGTGTTGTCCAATATAATTAGAATATAATTAGGAATCAATTTGATCAAATTGATTCAATCGTTCTCCTCTATCAAACCAATCCAGCCTTGAGGATTCAATCAAAAAGTTTACAATTAAGAAAAAATGAGCGCAAAGCCTCAAGAGACCACAAGCAGCACGAATGAAGTCAAAGAAACACGTGAGCTTTTCCGTACGACTGAATTACTTTCTACTTGTCAGGCCATGAAGATGCAGCTTGAAGGAAGATTGGGTTCCGATGCTTCTGAATTTTTCTATTTTGCTTGTATGGAGGCTTTGCCCGGAATTCGGGAACAGGAGCCAACCTTTGAAAGTAATCTGCAAACAACACAGGTGAACAGCAACAATAACAACAGGAAGGCTTCTTGTTTGTCAAAATTGGATATTATCGAAAGAACAAGAGAACAAAATTGGAATCCACAAGATCCAGATCTTGTTTCAACTTGGACCTATAATCCTCGCTTTTTGTTTGATGAAAATTGGTCTCAAAAAACCTTTGCTGATATGAGCGATTGTTTTGCATCGGATAGTACTCTTGTTCAAAGAGTTCAAATGAAACACAGATTGTTGGGCTCACTGGCGGAGGGAGGAATTCAAAAACTCATGCCATCATTTGCCAGTAAATTGAGAGAATTGAAGATGGCCAACGGAGGACAAGTTAAGGACATTTCTTCCACATCGGAGGCCACTCATCTTTTTGAAAATTATTCAAAAGAGTCGAAAGACCAATTTATTGCTTGTCTGAAAGCACAAACAAACACCATTCAAGCCAAAGACGATGAATACAAGGTTGCTATTGCCATGGACAGATGTAGTGCAACCAGTTTTGAAAATTTCTTTAAGGGAATGGTTTTATCTTGTCATAAATCCATCACTGAGTGTGTTGAGAAAAATAGTAGAAAGGAAGAACTTTGGAGAATGACAATGTTTTTGGAGTGTTGGCTTGTGTTACAGATCTACAACAACAACTTGCCAATGATGGATGTGCTAAATTTGCCATGGACTATATCGACCAGCTCTCAAGAGATACTTTGAATATTTCATCAGCAAAGAAGGATTAACGAAATGAACATCTGAGGGTTTTTCCGAGCAACTGAGTGATATGAACAAGATGGCGGTCAAGTCTTGTACCGACAATTTCCAAGTGGTCGAGTGTGAACATAATTACATAGGTGATTCAAGTGTAATTTGTGAAGGATAAAATCAATTTGATTTTTCAGATTTATGGATACTTGTTTTTGTAAGATTCCTTATTTACTGCATCCTCACGAATCAAGTAATCACGTATTTCAGCAATCTTTCTCATTAACATTTGCAGCTTCCATACAGATGGTTTAACCTCAGAGTGCAATGTCGTTAATAGTGGAAGATTGTTGCATCAAATAACAGTTTATCAGAACAAATGCACATAAGGACAGAGTGCAATGTTTCCTTCAACTTTTTTCTGCAATTACCTTGTTGAACATTTCAAATCTTAATTTTTCTACCCAAGATTCAACAATTACTTTTCAAATCCAAGTCCTACCATAGTACAGGGTGTGCAGTCCGTACCAACGGCTCCTTCACGACGTCATCAACGATAAAAATAACACTTTCGCGTCAGCAACATCCGCTCAAGTTCTTGGAGCAACCCAGAAAATCTTTCTCAAAAATTTCAAATTGAAAAAAACAATTAAACACCACCTCCTATTCAAACAACTAACACCCACAAAATTCTCAATACAAAAGAACACTATTGTAATAACATGTCATCCCTTACAGCAAATTTTGGATCCAGCTACTCTGATTATCGACCTTGGGAATATGATATCTTGGTCAAAATATTAATCGTTGGAAATTCGGGAGTTGGAAAATCATGTTTATTGGTACGATACAGCGATGATGAATTCTATGAATCTCATCTTTCAACGATTGGAGTGGATTTCAAAATCAAGACACAAACACTTCAAGATCATCGAGTGGCAAAAATTCAATTATGGGACACAGCTGGACAAGAACGATTTGGACAAATTGTCTCTGGTTATTACAGATCTTCGAATGGTATCATGATTGTGTTCGACTTGACTGATGAAAAATCATTTCGTGAAGTTGCTAAATGGTTAGATCAAATTGCAAAATACGGTTCAGAAAATACTCCAATGGTTCTGGTTGGTAACAAATCAGATTTAGTAGCAAAGAGAGTCATTGATCGTCGAGTCGCAGAAGAGTTCGCCAAGAATATGGGCATGGAATATATTGAAACAAGCGCAAAGAATTCGAATGGTGTCGATGTGGCATTTGACAAGATGCTTCAAGCCGTTGTAAAATCACAAAATTATATTGATAATAATCCAAATACTAAGAAGAAGACAGATTCTTCGACGACTGTGATTGGTCCTGGTTTAAGAGGAAACACCACAGTGACTGACTCGAGCAATAATTCATGTTGTTGGAAGTAATTTTCGTATTTTTTCAACCATCCATGTGTGAAATATTTGAATAAATCTGAATAAGACTGTCTTGTGAATTTCTTTGCATCCTTAATAATCAAGGAATTGTTGAAAGGTTAATTATCCTCAATAATATCGTGATCCAATTTTGATTGAGTCCACACACGCAGAGGACATTATTGAAGCGGCGCATGAAATTCTATTTTAAAAAAAATGCAAAAACTCAAATCACAGAAGGCTTCGACCCTGCTCAAGCAAGCCTCGAATTTGCTATTACTCAACAACACGACAAATAATGGCATGAGTAGTCGGAGGGGAACGATACAATGTACGGGAATTATCAATGACGTGATCCGAAATTATGGAACAAGTTTTAAACATCAACATCGCCAATATGGTAACAAGACATCGGCCCTTGTGATGGATCCGAATTCGGAGATTCATAATTTGTCTTCATCGTTATCTTCATCGATAAGGCTTTTAAATCAATTGGCAACACAACAAAGAGCACAATATCATACAACGAGCGGACTGTTGAAAAAGAAGAAGGAAAAGGTTAGTGTCTTATTCCGATAACGATGAAAGTACATAATTTTTGGGTAATGAAAATTTAATGACGATGGTCTTTTTCGACGTGTATTCTACTTTGAATCCACTATTTTCAATCATTGTTTAAATAATATCATGTGATGGTACATCATCATTGGAATGATGCTTATTATTTGTGTGATATCACTATTTCACAACAACAGGTTGAAGATGAAGAAAAAGAAGAAAAGGAAGAAAAGAACAACAAGGATGACGACGAAGATGACACTGGCGAGAAGCAAGAATCAAAATCTAGAAAATTACGTCTTTTGGCCCTAGCTGTCATGACTGGTTACTTGCTCCTCTATTTAACTCCTGCAGGTCCATCACAATCTCAAAAGTTAAACAAGGAAATCACCTTCCAAGATTTTGTGGATAGATACCTCGGAAACACAAATTTGGACCACTTGGAATATGATTTGAGAACCAATGAAGTCTATGTCTATCTTAAAGACCCATTATCAAGTGGAAGTTTTGTTTATTCGGGAGTTGATAAAAAGGAGAGTAGAGGTACATCAGCTGACGATGTTGCAGCCGCATCTGGTATTCACGCTCCTGCTGAGAGAAAAGAGCACAAGGGATCAGTTTGGGGCCCATCTAGCGATTTTAATTATTATTTCCAAATGATTAATGTAGATGCATTTGAGACAAGACTTCAAGATGGAGAAATCGAAAAAGGAATTCCTCCATCTATGAGTCCAAAAATCATTTATACCGGTTCTCTTGATTGGCATTCACTTTTGCCAAGTCCTTTCACATTGTTCTTGGCCGGTATCTTGTTGTGGTCATTCACTGCAACTGCTAGAGGAATGCCTGGCCTTGGAGGAATTACCAAAACGCCAGAAGCTGTCAAACAAAAGGTGAAAGTGTCATTCAATGATGTGGCCGGTATGGAAGAAGCCAAGGCAGAAATTCAAGAATTTGTCTCATTCCTTAAAAAGCCAGAGCATTACAAGAAATTAGGTGCCAAAATTCCAAGAGGCGCCATTCTTATGGTATGTTATTTCCGACTGAAATGCAATCAATTTTGATTTTTTAACAATTCCTTTTGATGTTTCGTTCACTGTTGAAATTTTAATTTTTACCTTACACAAATGAATGTGAATCAAATTCAAATAGGGACCACCAGGTACTGGTAAAGTAAGTGTCAAGTTTTACATGGTGTTTAGGTTAATTTCTTTGTCATTTTTCATCACATGAACGATTATGTCAATATTCTCATTGAACAAAATTCAAATCTCTTTCCATTTGATTAGACCCTTTTAGCCAAAGCTGTTGCTGGAGAAACTGATGTTCCATTCTTTAGCATGTCAGGCTCAGACTTTGTTGAAATGTTCGTCGGTGTAGGTCCTGCCAGAGTCCGTAACTTGTTCAAGAAGGCAAGAGAAACTGGTCAAGCCATCATCTTTATCGACGAAATTGATGCCATTGGTAGACCAAGAGGAAACAGCATGTACGGCGGTGGCAATGACGAAAGAGAAAACACTCTCAATCAATTGTTGGTCGAAATGGACGGCTTCAACGAGAATCACAATGTTATTGTATTGGCCTCTACCAACGTAGATGTCGAAGGATTGGATCGAGCATTGTTGCGTCCTGGAAGATTTGATCGACAAATCACCATTGACAAACCTGATCAAAAAGGAAGAGAATCCATCTTTAAGGTTCACTTGAGAAATATCAAGAAAGCTCCTGGCTTGGAAGATAACATTCCTCGTTTGGCCGAATTGACACCTGGATTCACAGGAGCCGATATTGCCAACGTGTGTAATGAAGGAGCAATCTTTGCTGCTCGTGAAGGTAAAAAACAAGTCGAAATGGAAGACATGGAACGTGCCATCGATCGAGTGATTGGTGGAATTGAAAAGAGAACTGCACCAATTTCACAAAAAGAAAAGAAAGTCATTGCGTATCATGAAGCTGGACATGCTTTGGTCTCATGGTTCTGTAAACATTCAGATCCATTGTTGAAAATTTCCATTATTCCAAGAGGTAAAGCACTAGGATATGCTCAATATGTTCCAAAAGAGCACTACATTAGAACGAAGGATCATTTGATGGATTATATGGCCCAAGCTTTGGGAGGAAGAGTGGCAGAAATGTTAATCTTTCAACATTTATCGACTGGAGCACAAGATGACTTGCAAAAAATTACAAGAATGGCCTATGCAGCAGTGAGTAGTTTTGGTATGAGTGAAGCTGTTGGACCAGTCTCGTATCCACTTCCAGGTGATCAATCCATGGCCTTCCAGAAACCATACAGTGAAGAAACTGCTGAGGTCATTGATCAAGAAGTTGCCACAATTATTGAAGGTGCTCTGAAACGAACAAAAGAAATTCTCACAGAAAAGAAGGAGCTTTTGGAAACTGTCGCTCACTACTTGTTGAAACATGAAACTATGAATATCGAACAATTCAGAGAATTGGTTGGACCATCACCATTCCCTGATAAGGAAGAGAAATTCCGTGAATTTTTAGAAAAGAAGAGATTGCAAGATGAAACTGAGAAGAAGAATAAGGAAGAATCAGAAAAACAAAAGTTGGATTAGAAGACTTGTTGCCAGAATAAATTATTTTGTGTTTTTTTAAATCAGAAATTTGTGTGTGTGACATCTCAATGATAGTCGTTCGCCGTGACACCTGTCAAAAATTCATGCACTTGCGACAATAATTTGCCAAGTTCCAGAACTTGGTTTTCGTCATCAAATGAAAAATTATCTTTCCATTCTTCATAAACATTGGGTGAGCTTCCGTCTGAATTCACATACGAAAAATGTGGTAATCCATAAAAAGCATGAGCTCCCTGTTGACCCAAATACAAAAATTCATCTCTATTCATTAATAATAAACACATGTCGAACTGCTCTTCTCTCAAATAATAACACACTTTTCCACAATAGCGATATTCATAGAAGTGATATTCACAACTCGTTCCAAATCCATAAGGGTTGTTGCTCGTACTTTTCAGTGATCGTTCCACCAAATCAAACTGTTCACAATCTTGTTCAAATTCCTTTAAAATATCAAAAGCCATTTGTCGATCCTCTTCATCACACGCTTCATCACACACACTATAAATATTCTTCTCAGTTCGACCTGTTTCAATAACTTTAGTCGGATTTTCCAATATTGTTCCAATAATATTCTCAAAATCAATCTTTGGAATGTGTCTAAAACATGCAGCAGTACATTTATGAGATGATAATTTCAAATGTAACCATTGAAAAAGTTCTCTACTTTTCACTGATGTGGTACTACTTGCAATCATCATATCATCATTATGATTTTCAGAAATAATAACTCGAGTCTCGGCCGAGTTATCAAGAGTCAAAATTTCGAGATCGCAAAGACTTGTCAATGCTAATGCATTCGGATGATGATGATCGGAATGGACTTGATTTAGTTTTCGTTTTAAAAGACGATTTCGTTCTTCCTTGAAGGCATATTCTCGTTTGGGATGAGACGGTGGATCTTTGGGGATGCGCGGATTGCGTGGAAGGCGTGAGCGTTGTTTGGTTCGTGCCATTTTTTTTTGTGTTTTTTTCCTCCTTTCCCTTGAATTTCAACTTCCAATTGCTGTCTTCTTTTACGATTTCTTAAGCAATAGCCACTGCACGTTTATAAATTCTCTATTGTTGAAATCTATTTAAATAATAGTTGACAAGGCATTTCGCTATGAGTGAGAGAAGTAGTTCGAAGAATTTCTTCTTTGGATTTCTCTTCTTCTGTTTTTGCTCCGAATCCGAGTTGTTCATTAGATAAAATTGGTTGCCTCTTGAAGAAGATACAATTACAAACAGATGGTGAAGCAAATTCACTTGTTTTTTCTTGACCATTGACATGTCTACAAGGGTAATACTTTGTAGACAAGTGAAACAGCAATGTGTTTCTTTCTAATTACGAATTTATAAATTCCCACAAAAAAAATGCCATCACATAAACGAAAACAACAACCCAATCAACCCAAAGGAGATAAAAACAACAAGAAATTGAAAAACAATTCAATTTCTAAAACCAATTCAATGAATTACGTTATTGAACATCCGCCCTATCTGAACAGGTTGGTCATCAACAATCACTCACTGCTATTTATGATGATCATACGAACAACGACGATACTGATAACGATCAATTGAATAAGACATGGTTTTGTGATATTTCAATCATCACCATTCAACACTCTACATCATCGTCACAACAAGTTTTCATGAAACGCATTATTTTCCCACTTCCCAAAAGAGTTCCATTGCGAATCAATTTCTCTCCAAAAATACCATATCGTCAAGCAAGCTAATGGGCTGTCTTGGCATTGATATCCGCAACCAATTATTGTTTGTGTTGGACGGAATTAGATTCATTGCAATTATTGATTTACAACAAAAAAAAATCATAACTCGTTTGACATGTAGACATTTATCTACCGCTTTAAGATTTGTGAAAATGACAATTCACTACTTATACCTTTTAATAATCAATTTCATAAATATAGATACAATGTTCCCAAAATTCTGGCATGTCAAAAACAAGAATTACAGCATGTTTGGTCATTTAAAACCACTCCAGACGTCGTGTTAGGTCATTCAGTTGTTGATATTTATGATGATCAAATAGACCATCATGGAAGTGGTGTAATTTACATTTCTGCAAAGGATTACATTTTAGTATTGAATGGACATAATGGACAATTATTGAAAAAAATTGGATCCTTTTTATTTGGACATGGTGCTGGATTGAAGTTGGTATTGGATGGAAATAGAAATCTATTGGCTTGTGAATATAAAAGAACCCATAAACTTATAACCAGAGATGGCCATATTATCATGAAAATTAAGAGACACCCAATCACTATGTGAAAGACATTCTCAATGATCCTTCATCCAATAATTTAATAGTGGTTTATGAACACAAACGTAGTGGTTGTACGTTAATGGAGGTTTGGTATCCAAACGGAGAACTTGTAGCTCAAAGAAATATTGGTGATGTTGAGGATGATGGTGTTTGTTTGAATGAACGTACTGGAGAACTATTTGTCAGCAACAGTATTGGTCAATCTTTAACAATTTTTCAATAGTCGCCAAAACTGGACAGGTGAAATGTTGAGGTTGAGTGAAATGATTGTCATGCAATAATTTCCTGAATTTTTGTTATTTTTTAATGATATTTGTTTCATGATTAATGATAACAAGAGTTTTGAGTTATTCGTTCAAATTTTTCTGTATCAATTGGGTGTTTATGGTTCCTTTATCTTAAAAAAAATGTTTCTCTCTGAATTGCCTGTAGATTGCTTGTTCCACATTTTTTCATTTCTTCGAGTGTACGGAAATGAAATTTATTCTTGTATGCATGTGTGTCGTGAGTGGTATGAAGTGATTGATCACTAGGAGATGTTATGGTCCAATCTGCTTCTAGATTATTGTCGGAATGAATTTCCATTGCAGACGATGAATTCTGAAAATACATCATCTTTTCCAAATTCTATAATATTACCTCCGTTATCATCATCAATGAATCATCGGAAAGCCTCTTCTTCTTCAACCCATCCAACTGATTTCATGGGAGTTCAACGATTAAAAACGAAATTATTGAAACATTACAAACAGAAGGAGGTGGATTCGGTAGTGTACTCGTTGCTTCAGCATGGGTTCACCCACAACAATGTTTACCAATGGATGTTGGAAGGTGAGACACTGGCTCAAAAGTTTTCCATGAAGACGAAACAAAAAGCAGTGCTTTTCCAAATCGTAGTGATGTTTCATTCTGATATTCTACTTTATCTCGTGAGGATTGGACCACCTCCAACACATACACTTCTCCAATCTATGCTTGATCCTGATGGAATTTTATGTGAACAGTTACGCCAAAGTTTTGTGCTCGCTGAATTGGTAACATGTAAACCAATGTACTACCCAGATGATTGGAAGATACTACAAATATGGAGACCTTTACTCAAGCTATCCCATGTAACCACCTTGATCAGAGACTTTGCCATGGAATATAAAAACGAATCACTACAAGATATACAACAAAAGTATGAAACAAGGCTGAAACAGCGTGACTCCCTTCTCTCAGCTCTTAAAATATTTCTCAAAGATGGAAATCACTTAGTAATGCCTAAAAATGTTTTCGAAACTGACGCTTTTGAAGAATTAGTATTTTATTTTCTGATCCATAGCTCTCAAGTAGCAGTTTTAAAAGATTTAGTAGATGTGATTTTTCCTGCACATTTGAAATGGAAACATTGGAATGACGATGTCAAAAATCGTATATTTTGTATGTTTCTTCATGTACTCAATGAAAGATATGCAAACAGAAGAATCAACACTTTTGAAGAATTTTCTAAAGAAATTAGCAATTTTGTCACTCTATTGAATATTACACAAACCAATGGATTTCCAATCTTATTTATATGTATGGGCCGATGGAATCATTGTGTTGTAGATTTATTGAATCGTTTCAAGCATTTAGCAACAAAAGAGCAGATGAAAGTAGTATTTCATTCAGAACTCGTAACTCGAGACATTCCACACTATTACCATTGCATATCGTTCTTGATACGTAATTATGAAATTGATCCATTTGAAGTTGTTGATAATGAGAATATCATTTACAAGCTTTTACAAATAGAACATAGCCCCTTCAGTATTCAAATGTTGCTGTTGCCAATTATTGAAACACTTGGATTGAAAAAACTTAGCTTGAACGCAATATCATCATCACTGAATACTGAAGATCAAATTCGCGTCGCTCTGCAGTCAAAATTATTTTCATACGGCAATGAAATTTTGAGGTTAAATCTAACCTTTGTGAATACCTATTTGGATCCAATTGTATTTGATGGAGAGGTCATCCTTGAAAGGCTTTATACAATGCTTGATATGGGCTATATTGGAATTGATTTGTATAATTGTTTATTGAATCATTGCAAAATCAAATGGAATCAAGCCGATGAGATTGGAAACTCCTACAATTCACTCCATGAATATGTCATGATGCGTCACGAAGAGGAATATCAAGAAACGAAAAAGAAAGCACAATCAGATCAAAAATTATTGCTTCTTGATTCGACCAATCCAGTTTCTGTGTATGTGTATTGTGAAAAGATTTTGACAACCAACATCAAAAATAATATGGTAGCCACGTGTTAGTCAGGTCAATATACTTTCCAACGGATTGAGGTTCAATTTCCTTAAACACGTGTTTTACGGAATTTTTAAATGATCAACCAAAAAATCAGATCGAATAATGAATTATAATTAAAAAAATGAACCGATTTGATCATCACGCATCCTCATTCCGATCATCATCACAATCATCACGCAATATTTTCTCCATCTTGTTGGATAGCAGTCCTCTGAGTAAAGATGTCCAATTGCACTTGTCCAAAGTATACGGATTGTTAACGGTATTGATGGGAATCTCGGCTTTGGGTTGTTACTTTTCCATGTTCGTCTATCAGTTGAATGTAACCATGTGCGCACTCTTGACTGTTGTGTTTGCCTTGTTATTATATTTGAGTCCTGCACACCCAGAGGTACCTCTGTTGGAACAACGTTATCGGTTGGGATTGTTGTTGACGTTAGGCTTTTTTGAAGGTGCTTCTCTTGCTCCGATTGTGTACTATGCTCTCTCCATTGATCCAAACATCATTTTCCTTGCCTTGTTGGCTACTACTGTGGTGTTTGTTTCCTTCTCTGCAGCTGCCTTGTACTCGGAAAGAAGAGAGTTCTTATATTTGGGTGGAGTGATTTCCTCTCTAACCTTGGTGCTCTTCATTAATTCACTCTTTTACACGAGATTTTCGTTTGACGTTTCTCTGTATGGTGGATTGATCATGTTTGTCTTGTATGTGCTCTATGATACTCAAATGATTGTGGAAAAGGTGAGCATTGTAGGATCCAAGAATGCAGATGCCATTCATCATGCTTTGGAATTATTTATTGATTTTGTCCAATTGTTTGTGAGAATTTTGATACTCTTATCAGAGAAGGAAAAGAAGAAGAATAATAATAGAAATAATTAATTTATAAGCTTTGTACATTGATTACAAAGGCATGAAGAGGAATCATGCATTTGGAAACTCCATCCTTACACAAACAACACGTTTCAATAAATAAATATTAAAAACCAAAACAACGAGTCATTTTTGGAGTTGTCGAGCAGATGCCACCAAAGAATTTCTCTCAATCATTACCCACAAACTCCAAAACCTCTTAAAAGCTGTTGTCTTGTCATGATACCAAGAGCAGTCTATACGGGGGTTGATAGAGCTCGATTCCAGGACTTGTTCAATTAAAATCCATTGTCCTCAATAAGGAGTGGAGAGTTGGAGACACGTTACATTGAATTTGCTTCTTATTTTTTTTTCGGTAGATGTCTGAACTTGCATTCAATGTCGTTAACGTGCTGGTTTGTTGTTGTCCCTGTCATTGATATTCGGGAAAGAACCAGTGAGCCATTGAGAGGAAGGAATCTCAAAACTTTGTTTCATTGGAGACTCATCTCTTCCAAAATCGAGAAGACCTTGTTTGACATCTTCATGCACTGTTGGATCATGCATGGTTGTCGTCATCATGACAACTCTCAGATTCGTGGCTTGTATGGTAAACAATGGTCTGCTGAAAATACAACCACTCTCGGAAGAAGGGTTGTCATTGAAAATTCTCTCGACACAACTACTCGACGGTGTCAATAATCTCTTGAAACGAGAGAGGAGAAGGTGTTGAAGGTCCATATTGTTTTTTTTTGTTGTGCAAATAATTCCTCAAAAGTGCATTGAAACGAATGTCCATAAAAAGAAAATTGAAAATTTATGTGACCTATCCCACGTTGTTTCACCTTTTCTACTTTGGAACAGCTTTAATAATTGAAATACCTCTGCATTGAGTACACTCCTAATTAAAATGTGAAATTTTAAGAACACGAAAATAACAGTTTCTTCTCAAACAGATCATCTGCATACTCAAGATTGAAACATGGTAGATATGCTTCTTCTTCTTTTGAATCATTAAAATCATTTGGATGGATATTGATCAGTGCACTGTTGAGATGCTCTTTTATTGGTTTTAAATTCAGTTTCAATTTAAAATTTCCGAAAACAAAAAATGCTTCAAAACAACAATTCAAAGCAACTCTTGCAAGAAGTGGATGCCAATATTTCCTTCCCACAAGAAGAAGAGAAGGTGTTGGCCTTCTGGAAGGAAATTGATGCTTTTAAAACAAGTGTAAAGATGTCTGAAGGAAAGAAGCCATATTCATTCTATGATGGTCCTCCATTTGCAACAGGGTATGTACTAGTTTTGGGTGTTCGGAGCCTCAGAGTTGATGATGATTTTTAATTTGTGGATTTATAAATTCCATGTTATGATTACTGTACTACTTGATATTATCAATGATATGGCATAATTATTTTGGAATTGAATCTGTCTCGTGATATCCCACTTTTCACTTTCTTTAATTTCTTCATTTAGCGTATGTGTTTCATTTTGATTTTCTTGTCATTCTCTCTTACATTTGTTTCAATAATCTCCAATTCTTGTTGACTCTTATTGTGTGTAACCTATTGATGTTACTCGATACCAAAAATGTTATCATGATGATGATGATTTGGATATCCCACAAATTCGTGATATCAACCTATTGTTCTATCATCACAATAGCATCCTCACTACGGACACATTCTTGCAGGTACTATTAAAGATGTAGTCACCCGGTACGCTCACCAAACTGGCCACTACGTCGAAAGACGATTTGGATGGGATTGCCACGGTTTACCAATTGAGTTTGAAATTGAAAAGATTCTCAAGAGAGAAATGATCGAAAGCCAAAAGCTTCTCTCTGAAGAAGACATGAAGAATGAGCAAAAAGTGAAGGAAAAGATTGCCTCCATGACATTGAGTCGTGCTGACATTGAAAATTATGGTATTGCCAGGTACAATGAAAAATGTGAATCCATTGTCATGAAGTATGCCTCGGATTGGGAAGAAATTATTACCAGATTGGGCAGATGGATTGATTTTAAGAATGACTACAAGACCATGAACTTTTCATTTATGGAGAGTGTTTGGTGGGTATTTAAACAATTGTGGGACAAGGGTCTCGTTTATAAGGGAGTTCGTGTCATGCCATACAGTACAGGTTGCACGACTCCACTTTCAAACTTTGAAGTGGCACAAGGTTACAAGGATGTTCAAGATACTGCCATTACTGTTGCTTTCCCAATCATTTCTAGCGATGAACGATTCAAAGATACTAGCTTTTTAGCTTGGACCACCACACCATGGACTTTGCCAAGTAACTTGGCTCTCTGTGTCAATGACACCTTTGATTATGTGAGAGTTTATGACGAACAAAAGAAATGGAACTTTATTATTTTGGAAGAATTGGTGCCAAAGCATTTCAAAAAAGCAAAGACCAATGGAAAATTCAAGGGTGCTGAATTAGTTGGTTTGAAATATGAACCACTTTATGATTTTTATCGTACTGAATTTGGAGCAGTTGCATTCAAAGTGGTTTCTGATGACTATGTCACTAACACAAGTGGTACTGGTATTGTCCATCAAGCTCCAGGATTTGGTGAGGACGACTATCGTGTCTGCTTAAAACATGGAATTTTTGATGGAAAGGAGTTTTACCTCCATGTCCATTGGATGATGTAGGTCGTTTTGTATCACCAATTGATAAGTTCAAGGGAATGTACATTAAGGATGCCGACCATCACATTTGTGAAGATTTGAGAGAACGTCTCAGATTATTTAAGAAGGAAGCCATTGCTCACAAGTATCCTTTCTGTTGGAGATCTGATACTCCACTCATTTACAGAACTATTCCTTCGTGGTTTGTTGCAGTAACTGAATTGCGAGAACGATTATTAGAAAACAACAAGAGAACTTACTGGGTACCAGAACATGTTCAAGAAGGCAGATTCCACAACTGGTTGGCTGATTGCAAGGATTGGACCATTTCCAGAAGTAGATACTGGGGTACACCAATTCCAATTTGGATGAGTGACGATGGAGAGGAAATGGTTGCTGTTGGTTCCGTTGCAGAATTAGAACAATTGAGTGGCGTGAAAGGTATTACAAACCTTCACAGACAATACATTGATGGAATTACTATTCCAAGTCAAAAAGGAACTGGTAAGATTTTGAAGAGAGTTACTGATGTGTTCGATTGTTGGTTCGAATCTGGTTCAATGCCATACGCACAAAACCACTATCCTTTCGAAAATGCTGAAAAATTCAAGAACACCTTCCCTGCTGATTTCATTGCTGAAGGTTTAGATCAAACAAGAGGTTGGTTCTACACTTTGTTAGTCTTGGGTACTGCCTTGTTTGATACTTGTCCTTTCCAGAATGTCATTGTGAATGGACTTGTTCTGGCTGAAGATGGCTCCAAGATGAGTAAGAGTAAGAAGAATTATCCAGATCCAAAGTTGGTTATTGATGAACACGGATCCGATGCGTTGAGATTATACTTGATCAATTCTCCTGTTGTTAGAGCTGAACCTCTCAAATTTAAAGAAGCTGGTGTCAGAGATGTCGTGAAGGATGTCTTGTTGCAATGGTACAATGCCTATAGATTCTTTGTTCAAGCTGTGAGACGATATGTTACTGAGACTGGAGAATCCTTCAACAGTGATATTGCAAACTCTGCCAAGATTGAAAATATTATGGACAAGTGGATTGTATCCTCCAGTAACAGTTTATTGAAAAATATTGCTGAAGAAATGAAGGCCTATCGGTTGTACAACGTTACACCAAAATTAGAAACCTTTATTGATCACCTTACTCGTTGGTATGTCAAGATGAATAACAAACGTTTGAAGGGTGAACAAAAGGGACAAACTAAGGAGGATAGATTATCTGCTTTGTCTGCCTTGTTCATTGCATTGTACAATTCTGTGAGAATTATGTCTCCATTTACCCCATTTTTGTGTGAAAAGATGTATCAAAATCTCAAGAATTTACTTTCCAAGAGTGAAGCTAGCGTTCACTTTGAAATGCTTCCTCAATGTGATGAGAGTAAGATTGATTTAGAAATTGAAAGAACTGTTGAGTCAATGCAAAGCGTTGTTAAGGTTGGAAGAACTTTGCGTGTAAGAAAGAATATTCCTTCAAGAACACCAGTCTCTGAGTTCATTGTTTGCAATGTTGACGAAGATTTCATAAGGCGAGTTAAAGAAATGGACTACTTCATCAAGAAGGAACTTAACGTTCATGGAAACATTGTGGCAACTAATGACATTAGACAATACAGCGTCAAATTAGAGGCAAGTCCTGACAATAGACTTTTGGGACAACGTTTGGGCAAGAAGTTTAGAGAAGTGAATCAGGCTATCAAATCATTGACACACGAACAATTGGTTCAATTCTTAAAGACTAGAGAACTCGTATTGTGTGATGAAAAGATTACTAGCGAAGAGTTGATTGTAATCAGCAAGTTTGTTGGAACTGAAAAGAATTACTTTGCTGATGATTGCAGTAATGGTACCTTGATTCTCAACACTGAGATGAGCCAAGAGTTAATGGAATTAGGTTTCTGTAGAGAAACAACAAGTATGGTCCAACAACTCAGAAAGAAGGCTGGTTTGAACTTTGATGATAAGGTTGATGTATTTGTGACAGGCAAGAACTCTTCACAAATTGTTGAAATTTTGAAAAAGCACAGCTCTTTCCTCACTCAACACTTGAAGGGTATGGAAGTTTTCTTTGAAACACCAAGCTCTGAAAGAACAGTGGTTATTGATGCCGAGTTGAATGTTGACAGAATTAATAATGACAATAATCTTGTTGTCGTTGTAACTTTGGTCAGATAAATTATTGAATTTATTTCTCTTCCTCTTAGTTCAACTTTATACCGGTGTTCGTATTCATTTGGAATGTAGTTGATATTCCTGGCCTTGCAATTAAATTAACTCACCCGCTCCAATTTTGGTCATTTAAAGCTTGTCCAACTGTCAAGCAAGCATGCTATCATAAAAAAACGGTCATCCATCTCTCTCTCTTTTCACCCACTCCAACGAACAAGTCAAATTGTTGCACCTGCAGTGTAGACTACTGAACAATAACGACAAGACGACCACATGTCATCTTCCCCGTCGTCGTCGTCGACCTCTTTCATGACCACGACACGAATTTCAGCCACAACAAGCTCTTCAGCCCTCGGAAATCATGTCAACCATAGTGTCTCAACTGCTGTAAATAATAACAACAATAATGGCAACAACAACCATAACAACAGCAACACTAACAACAATAACACTCCTTCATCTCCATCCACCGGAAATTCTCTTCTCAATTCCATTAAACGAAAACTTACCAAAACATCCGAAAAGCTGTCGAGTCCAAGAATCACTAAGAAGCAGCAGGCATCATCAGTTCCTAATTTACAAACTCGATCGAATCTTCATGAAAGTACAAATCATAATAATAGTAGTACTGGTAGTAGTAGTAGTACTTTTAATAATGATCATCCTGTCTCTCCTCCGATGAGTAGTAATAGCAATAATAGCAGTAATAGTAATAGTAATACCAATAGCAGTCCTCAGACAAAACGTAAAATTCCTCTTCTTTCTCTATGGAATCTTCATCCAACGAGTACGTTAACTGTGGCCACACAAAATACAAAAGAAGCTTTGGAAACCTTTTTGGATGAAACTCTTCAAGAAGTTCCTCCTCCTCCTTCTTGTTCTTCTTCGAATAATCATGAAATGGTTTCATCTCCGAGAATTTCCATTGTGTCAAACGTTCAAAATCTTTGGATCGAAACAGTCACTCGAGTTTAGGAACAAATACAGCAACAACGAGTACGAACAGTGTGAAATCACCTCGTTGTCATTCACCCATTTCAAGTTCTACTGGTGTCATCACTCTTGGAAGTCAACAATCTGCAAATCCTTACTTGAACAGTTTATCAACTCATTCAACAAATTCCACAACAAATTCGGCGACAATGACAACAACGACAAGTGCACTTCTACCCTCTTCGGTTGTGACTCCACAAAGTTGTGAATCTTCTCCATTTTCTCCAAGAGTTTCATTTCAACGTTTAACCGTTGGATCCTTAATCGATCATGAACAAAATTCTGAAGAAAATTTTCATCTTTCCAATCTTGTTGTCGCTGCTGATCAACAACACTATCATCGTATTGAGGATGAATTTTCACAAATTATGAATTCTGAAATTGGACGTGAACTTTTCTTTCAATTCATTCAGAAATCATCTCATTCGGAACAAATTGAATTTTTACAAGACACCATTCGATTGTATCAAGATAATGCATTGTTATTGACAACAACGACAAATGCAAACACATTTCCCAATTCAGCTCTGTCACCCGTGTCACCGAGAGGAAGAAGAAATTCAAATGTGTCCCATCCTCATGACACAAATTCTGCAACTTCTCCAACCACAAATACCACAACTGTCAACACGACTCAAATGTCCTTTTCTCAACCAACACATTCATTTGTATATTTATCATCACCAACTGCAGAGGCCAATACTTCTTCATCTTCTCTCAGTAGTGGCAGTGGAACGAATGAGGACACGAATTGTTCATCAACAAGTAGTAGTATCAACACAGCTAATTCATCATCACCCATGATAGGAGGTTTGAAGAAACTTGTCAAATCCAAGTCACGAGCTAATAGTGCTTCCTCAGATCCCAATGACAAGGCATTTATTTCGACATCGGAAATTTTAATGAAATACAAGCAACAACAATTGCAAAATATTCAACAGTCACTACTGCAACAACAACAGCAACAACAAAATTCGCCTTCAAATTCTCAACATGGAACATTCCACTCACATATTTATGTTGGATTTAATTTATTACATGTTGAGAAATTAATTGACAAATACATTTTGGAACATTCTCCAAAAGAGTTAAATTTGAGTAAGAGACAACGACAAAAAACTTTGGACGCTTTTGAACGATTGAAGAATGAGAAATTACACTTTTTAAATACAATGTGTATCCAGAAAGTGCACAAGTCTCAGAAATTCCTCATCATCTCTATTGCGACATGTTTGTGAGCGAAGATGAATTTATTGAAATTTTTAGAGATTTAATTAATGTTATTAATTTACAACTTAAATTGGAGTGTTTCAGAGATTTCAGAAAATCTCCAGAATATTTGGAAGCAGTCGTGAGTGAAAGTAGCAACGATGTGAGCAGTGTGACAGGAATTTTGAGTAGTCAAAGCAAGTATCCAATCGACACGATTGCAACTCCAAGAAGATTTTTCAATCGGAGACGACTTTCAGAGAATGATCTTTCACATTTAAGGAATAATTCGACTGAATTTAATGGACATGCCTTGTTACTTTCTCCGAGAAGAGATTCCACATCAGGTGGTTATTATTCTTGGCTGCAACCCAAGTCCAATGCTCGATCCTTGTTGAGAAATATGAAAAATCCACTCGAATTATTTATGGTGTTGCACCATCGGTGAGAGATCTTGTCAATTTGATATATGCCTTTGATTCTAAGACCAGATTTGGAAATATCTCAAAAAAGCTTGATGGTGAACTCTGCACAACAAGTACCAAAAGCAAAATTTCGTACCAACCAACATCTCAAACTTGAATCATGAAGGGTACCATGGATGTGGCATCAACTCGTGGTGAACTTTGTCAAAGTTTGTTTCCAATATCATCTCAACAATGATACCATGCCACATTGTGTTCAGAACACACAAAAAATTGAAATAACTTTGAAATGGTCTATCTTGGAAATAGCATTAGCAGCAACAGCAACAAGAACTACAGCAACAACATTACAACCATGAAGAACACGATAGAAATTTACTTGAATCCAATATCAACAGACCATAACAACTCTGAAGACCTTTTCATGATATTAACATTGAAATGCATCAACGTTACCATTCGAGAACAGTTGAGAGAAGACAAGTTCCATTTAGAAGAGACAGAGCAATTATTAATGCAATCTCATACACCAGCAGATATTGTTTGTGTGATTGACAAGAGTGGATCAATGAGTGGTGAGAAAATCACACTCGTGAAAGACACTTTGGATTTTGTCATTGGAGCTTTAGGTCCTAAAGATAGATTATCCATTGTTTCATTCGATGATGAATTCTTTACCAATTTAAAATTGACTTCTATGAATATGGATGGAAGAGTAAGTAGTGATAGTTACAACAGTCCTTGTTCACAACACCATTTTGAATTCCACGTATGAACTTTTTTTTACAAATATGGTTAAAAAATTGTGTCACAGAGACGTGGATCAATTTCAGTTGAAAATATGAGAACTGGTGGAATTACCTTCCTGTCTGGTGGCTTGTTGCGAGGTATTGAAGAAATGAATGCCATTCCCAAACATGCCAGAAATCCCTCAAGATCTCTCTTATTATTTACAGATGGAATGGCAAATAAGGGAATTACTAACACGTACGTTGTGATCATGCGTTTGATTTCACAATCTTGATGATTTACAAACCTTTATGATGGAATTTGTACCATGGATTTCAATTGGATTTAGTTCCTTGCTTATTCAAGCGATAAGAGATCCAACAAAAGATTATTCTATTCATACATTTGGATATGGTGAAGAGCATGACTCGAATATGCTTTCAGCTCTTGCAGAAGAAGGAAATGGAATGTATTACTATGTGAAGGATCAAGCATCGATTTCGAAATGTATGGTTGATTGTATTGGTGGAATTTTGACAAGTCAAAAAAGAAATGTCAAGCTTACTTTGACAAGTGACACTATGCATTCAAGTCATGTACAAATTCTTCAAGTCTTTGGTCCTCATGAGCTTTCATTGGACGGCAACTCATTTTCAGTATGTTACAACGATTTACAAATGGAAGAGGAGAAGCATATTGTGATTAGAGCGAAACGTAAACTGTCAAATGTCAATAATCACTTGGCAAACTCTCAAAATTTGGACAATTTACAGATCAGAGTACAATTAAGCATGAATGATATTCAAAACAATTACGAGATGGAAACCATTGAAAAGATTGTACAAGCTGATCAGTCCTCTCTCGACTCTCACTCCAAGTTGCGCTGTCACTTGTCAAGACAACAAGCAGTTCAAACATTGAAAGAAGCCAAAGAATACTTGTCAACTTTGGGTCATCCACTGAATGGCGCTTGCAACATTCTAAAGAATGGTCTCGAACACATTCACTCACAACATGTACTTGGAATTGATCCTTCTCTCAACTCTCCACATGATGCGTTGACACTTTATATTTTTCACACTTTACAAAATATTCTAGCTGAGTGTGAAAACAGTAACTCATCTTTTAATGTATTAAGCCGTATGAACTCACTTTATTACGAGTTATTATACGAACGATCTGTCAGTGATCCAACCGTGGACCAGTCGACACATCCTTCAACTGTCATCCACCAAACTCTTCCTCGTAAATTCTACGCTTACCGAATGGCCAATCGAACCAAATTCATGAAATGTCATAATTGTGGTAGTGATCAACATTTTTCTAGAAATTGCAACAAGGCAGAAATGTGTCACAATTGCAAACAAATTGGGCATTTAGTGAATCAATGTCCATTTCCTCAAAAATGTCATCATTGTGGTAGTTTTGAACATTTATCGAGACAATGTACTGCCATGATTTGTTTTAAATGTAAACAAGTTGGACATCGAGCCAATGAATGTACATTACTCGTTCAAGCAAGTGGTGGAAATCATTTCAATCCAAATGGAAAGGACAGAAATGATCGTTCGAGTCATGAAAGAAATGACTCGAGTCATCGAGGAAAGAAACAAGGACGAAATGATCATCACATAGGAAATTCTAGCACTCGACATTAAATGATGGAGCAATTTACTTTGAGGTGAATGCAGACAAAGCAGTCATTCTGTCAAATCAATTTGAAAATATGTTGCGGCTGAGTTTTTCTGCAATTCAATGAAGTCACAAAAATGAATCAAGAAATTTGTTGCATTTCAGTTGACACAATCATGATCAATGAAGTGAATTTAGATGTTATTTGACATTGGTGTTGTTGAAATTACAATTACAATTCAAAGGAAACCTATGTTACATTACAAAATTAAACCTTAGTAGCTTCATCATGCATTTCTTGATTCATTGATTGAGTAGAAACGGTGGCATTTTGTTCCTTCTTGTCATGATAATAAGATGATGTAGTTGATGAGGATGATACTGAATTACTTCTATTTCTCACGTGGTATTGAGCTTCCTGATCACTCTTTTCATTCCACAATGGCTGTACAACAACAAGACGAAAATGGCAAACACCACAACTCCAAGAGCTTGCACAAAGTAATCCAAAATGTGTAAATAACCTGCAAAAGTACTTGTTAAGAAGGATATAATGGCTGCAACAATTTGCAGGGAAGCAGTCAAAATCAGTCCGGACATGAGTCCAACAATTTTCGTGAATGGTCGATTCATGAATGAAACCTTTTCCTTGCAGAGGAAACATTTGAAGATGTTTTTCTCACAATGTGAAGTAACGGGCACTGACCACAGTGAAAACAACTAAATTTGCAACGTTGACAATAAAGAAGATACATAAAAGTACAATTTGGAAAGGAACAGCTAGGGTTCTGTTGAGAAGTGTCATTTTCACTAACAAGTTCAAAATGGCGTTGAGAAGAATGATGATACCTAAAATTCCACCAGTGATCATGTTAAAGGCAAAGAGCGACCATCTGATGATTATATAGGCCTTCTTGGACATGGCTCCAGCAGCTGCAGCTGTGGTCAAGCTGTTGTGTTTGTGATCAGTTTGGGAGAATGGAGGAATACGTCGTGATGATGAGTCATTGTAGTGTGATGACAAATGACAGCAATTTTACATGGTGCCATGGAGATGTTAGTTGATAATTTCGATATCATACCATATTTGTAATAAATTCCACCAAAGTGTGTGGACATGCGGTTTGGATACAAATCACGAAATTATCAAGCCAGATCCAATCATCATCATATTGTTATTAACATCCGTCATCATCAACTAACAATCAAAACGTTGTGATTACTTACAACAAGTCTTGAAGAAAACCAATAATGATAGTAATGGTCACAATGGCACCAAAAGACAAGGAGTTCTCAAATACAGCAAAGACCCACAACACAATTCTATAATCCAGCAAATTGGGAAAGGCAATCCAATTCGTGCCATTCATATAGACTGAAGTACCATTGTACACAATACGGAAAAACAAAGCAGCAAGTTCAACAACCACCAGTAAGCCAGTCAAAAAGAAGAGAACCGTTTGCTTTCGTTTCATTTCCTCTCGCAATTTGATGTAATAACCAATGAGTACTGCCAGTAACACAGTCAACACAATGACATAGAAGGCAGAATTACTGAGGGAAGCAATGTTTTCATTAGCGTCTGCAATTTTACCTTGAGTTGCGTTGATGGTTTGGAATAGAGTGTAGGGAAGAGAGAAAATATCTAGAACTGGTTCTGTCATCTTTGAGGTTGGTTTGTTGTTTGGTGTTTTTTTGTTGGATGTGGAAGGAGATGAGTGTAACCATCAGGACTCGCAGAAAATGACAAGATCTCAGCAACACGCGTTGGATTCAAGTTCTTGCGTTTGGCCCTTACCGCATATAAGGTGGCTACCCGTTTGTTCAAGCTGTTCCAAATCATGTTAGTGCTATCGTGATCTTGGAAGGAAGGTTGACAAAATGGATGGGTATCCAATTACGATGGAATAATTGTTCGAGGAAAGTATTCCCACGACATATTGGAAAAGGCAAGTCTCATTGCATTGTCAAACATCCTTTAGTGATGTTTTTCACGGATAAAGCAACACGATATTGGGCTTGTGAAGATATGATTATCTAATTATTTCAACACCATACTGTTTTTGATATCCAAGGCAACCGTTGCACATCTACAGACAAAATTCATCTCTACCAAAGCGAATGAACCTGACCTTCCGCGGGTCATCATGGATATCTCCTCGTTCTGGACTTTCTTCATTGGTCATCATGGAAGTTAAACTGTATGATATTCAAAAACACACCAGTTGGTAGTGTCTTCTCTTGTCCTTCAGCTTCTTCATCATGCAGAACATCATACGGACGCTTCATCACTACTCGATGTGAGGCATTTTGCTCCTCTCTTGATGCATCTAGAGGTTTCGGGATGACTTCCTAACACGATTCAAGTGTTCCAAATCTGAGAGATGTAATTTCAGTGGCCGTAGAATTTAATGTTCGTACTTTTGTGAGTGTGGAGAATATAGAGCCTTCTCATACTGGTAGTCTGAGTCCGAATGTAGATGGGCAAAAATGTGTTGTTTCTGTGAGAGTCATCATGATCATATTGGATCGTAGAGTATTTACATTCAAGCCAACCACCACTCTACTGTTGGTAGAACTAACAAACATTCAGAGAGGATCCAACAAGGTTCTTCTTCATGCCTTTCCGAAACATACGAAAGGCTTTTTCATATAACGGCGAATGCGTTTTCCATTCACAAAATTTTTTTCTAAATTTGGTCGTTGCTCTTCTTTACAAATTGTTTACTGTTTTCAAGATGCAAGCTTAATCAATTTAAAAAAAACTTTAATCTTCACTGAATGATGGAGTTCAAAACTTAACAACACTTTGTCCTATCTATAAAAAAATCGTTCATTGTTATTTGTCACGAAGACTTGAAGTAAATAACACGATTCATCATTCATTAACCATCGTTTCAAGTCAAACATTTCTATTAAGGTCTGAGGAAGTGGAATGATCAACAACAAATTCGTACCACTCTCGAACCAAATTTTGCTTTGGTGCTTTCATGTGTTTTTGACTTTATTTCTCCACATGACAAAGGGACATTAAAACATACATTCTCTCGAGCCTCATTATACTTTACTCTGTCAACATGAACACTCGACTGGAATTGTCAAATACGGGACTTGTTCTGATCACTCCTCTTTGCTCGTGGAGGACAGATAAAGCAGTCCATGTGACCATGCCGCATGTCATGAGAGATCTGATGATTATGTTGTTGAGTATACACATGAGGAGGAGGAGGTGCCATTGGTTGGTTTGGATGAGTTGATCGCTGTTGTTGAGTAAATGGTGGTTGATGCTCAATCAAAGGAGAACCACTTGAAAAGCTTGTTGGAAAAGAAAGTTGTTCCTCACGAGTATCAACATGGAAGTGAACATTCATTAAGAGAGTGAGGAAGAGAATGAAAAGTATAAGACCGGCTGTGAGTATTGAAATGTTGTTGTTGAATGAAAGAGAAGACATTTGGAGGACATACCTTTTAGCACCTTACACCTTACACTTTAGTGCCGTTTGCAATGGCAGGTAGTCCCAAAAAGGAGATACAAATAGCACTTAACACTGGATGAAAGTGTTTGTTTTGTTGACCAAGAGGTTTGGAGAATGTTGTCTCAGACAGTGAGATGGTTTACAGTCACAAGTATCAAATTACTAATTTGATAATAAAAGGAAATGGATTTCAAAGAATCAGATCTTGCCATTGGATATACGTGGAATGGATTAGGGCTTCCTTTTGTTCAGTAAGCGTTAACAAGGTCCCTTGTGAAGTCATCTGTTAGGCTGAATACAAAACACTCTCTTTATCACATAATTCATTCAATTGACAAAGTTCTGTAATCAAAGTTGCTCCATTTATTCTAAACTTCTACAAATCTAAAAAAGGTTTTCGACATGATTCTCTTGGAGGGCGTGTCTTTGATTTCGATACACAGGAGATTGTTTCTCTTCAAACTATTTGGATGGTTACACTCGCACAAGTGTTGAATTACTATTTGGATCAAAAATGGAAATCGATTTTGAAAGATCTGATTTCGCTCTTTTGAATGATTTTCTCTGAACTGATTTGGTCAAACATTCGAATTTACAATGTATCTCACCTCTCCGTGGGATTGCAAAATTAAAACGATTTCCATTCTTTGTCACTATTTACAACATTGTTTTCATGAATGACTCAACTGTTTATTTGTCATCCTTTCACACACAACTCTCTAATGAGGTCCATCACATTCACTCTTACGAGGACATGCATTCGATTGCATCACATAATTCATCATTTGATCAAACACAAGATTCTCATCAAATTTCAACGCATGCTTGGTATAACGTTCGGAAGATGAGACTTTGGATTGTTCGGTGGACATGAACAAGTCAACATTGACCATCCATGAAATTTTGTCTTCATTGCCAACATCACCACTGTGTAATCCAGTGGGCATGGTCACATAGGAAGCTTTTTCAATATAACCTGAACGAAGTGTCATGGAAGTGTAAATAGTTACTGGAATGGGTCCCATATTCGATTGTTCAATCTTCATTCTTGGAGAAACATTTAAACAAAAAGGACGAGATAGAAAATCAGATTGATACTTGGAACATGAACATTCATTCAATGTGGTATTCATGTAGACATAGGTCATGTTGTCTTGAGGAGAATAAAATTCAAAAACAGTTCTCAATGGAATGACAGAACCATTTCGAACGGCAAATATTTCATCATTACGATACATTTTACGATGCATGTTGAAATGAGCGATATCGGTCACAATGATGGAAGTGTTGGTCTTGTAATAATTACTGGAATGAACACTTTGGTAATCTCTTTGAACGGAGAACACACTTGGACGACACACTTGTTTGTATGGTTCTTGTGCCAATGTGAATTGGACACAAAGAAGGAACAAGGCCATGGAAAGGACGAGGCAGAAGCGAATGGTTATCATGTTGAGGACAATCGTCTTGTTGTTTGGATCAATTTTTGTTATCACACTCTTTAAAATCACAACAGTTTGAATTTGATGGATTTTCATGTGCGCGCGGGTTACACCGACTAGAAGTGAACTTCCTTTTTGAGAATGTGGTTTTTTAGATCTTGCTTGAGAGAAAAGGACTTTCGATTCTTGAATTGTGAGATTGAGCTTGATGTTTTGGTTAGGAGGACAAAGTGTTTTAATGTTGGATTTTTTATAATCACAAAATTTTTTTAATCTTAAAGTTTAAGATATTTGCAGTAAAGGTGTTTTTATTGTCTTTAAAAGTTTTAAATATTTTTTGATTGGTCGTGTAGCTCAGAGGTAGAGCGTTTGTCTTATGAGTAGAGTCAGCAGATGGCCGAGGGTTCGATTCCCTCCATGACCATCATTTTTTTTCTTTCTTGGTACCATCTTGTTCACAAAAAAATATACACACCCTAGCAGCAACATCTTGTTGTCCCATTCATATCCTTGGATGTCGCTCTGCAACCTCTTGTCATCCCTTTCATTCATATCCTGAATGTTTCTTTCATATTCAAAAAAATCATTCAATTTCATCATCAACAGAACACACATTTCGGAACATGAATGACATGAAAATATTAAAATTGTGAATATTATAATGTCCATTCATTCATCATTACAAGATACTTCTCTACTGTAGGAGCTGGTGATGTTGTTGAATTGTTTGTGCCTCCTACAAGTTGTTCGTGTTGAGGTACTGGTGGATTTGTAATGACTTGAAAAAACGCACTTATGAAAAGATTGTGACATGCAATACATTAGCTATTCTGAAACATTGAGGAACGTACAATGTAAACTGGACGTATAGTGATTTAATGGAACACCTATGGAAATTCCTCTACTTTTTCAACACACTTTCATAGGTTGGCTCTACCGTTATAAATTTCACAAATCGATAATCCTCATCCACACTGGTCACATGAATTTCCTTTGGATGAGGATTTAACGTTTTGAATGGACATTTCACCACTTGAATCACATTTTGATTTTTGGGTTTTGAATTTTCTTGAATCCAAAATGCTCGATCAAATCCTCGTAATAATTCATAATCGATGCGTCCAGTTGGTGTTGATGTAAAATAATTTGGTAAATGTCGTTGCATAATTTTCACAAATTCATCTAACATGTGATGCGAGTGAAATTTGATTCTTTGAAAATTACTTTTCGAAAGTTCATTCTTCAAATCCCAAATACAATCCGATCGATCAAAGATTTGTTTTGCCAATGATATCTCTTGAAAGGTAAAACTCATTTCACCATACGATTCTTCTTTCAATGCTGATAAATACAAGTGTGACTGTGGAATGAGAATGGCATTGGGAGGAGATGGTGATTTATCTGTCAAATTTTGCATGAACATTAAGGCATAATGACAGAACTGTAAAGTATTGTACTTGTTGAGAGTATATTGTTTTTCAACGGTCCAAAACGAACAAAAAGATGCCAAATTTCTCACAGCCAATTTGACTTGTGTGTCACCTCGAATGGTTCCAAGTTCAATAACGCTTAATGGTGTAAAAGTGGGTTGACTTCGTACAATGGCCATGGCGTAATCGGTCCATTCAATTAACCATGGTCCAACAAGGAGAGCACATTGAATCTATCATGATGATTGTTGAATGAATAATAATTAATGGAATATAATGTCAATTTCTTACATTCAGAGAATTTTCAAATGAAAAATTCACTCTTCACTTACCACATCAGTAGTCATCTTATTTTTCAGTAATGGATTCATATTCAATTGTCTCTTGACACTCGTTGGACTTTGTTTCATCATGACCAATTTAATTTTCAAAAATTCTTCACCATTGGTTTGAGCATGTCCATATTGAGGTAATCTTTTTGGATTGAGATATTTATACAAGAATCTGTGAGGAAAGGTATAGTTTTGTGCAATAATGGAGACTTGTTCTTTTGAAAGTAATGAACCAAAAATTTTGAGTTTTCTTTTTACAGCTTCAATTCCTAGTAAAATGTGAATTTTCAAGAATTACGTGTCAACAACGTTGTCACAACATTACACAACCATTTCATGTACAATTCAATTAATAAACACAAAATACTTACGGTCTAAATGTTTAAATTCCATTTTCGATACATTCCACAAGGAAGCCTCAGAAACGGGAATTGGATTAATTCTTCCAGCAACACTTGTTCCTCCGTAATGAGTGGCCATCAATTCCTGAATCACAATTTTTAATTCTCGTTCTTCATCATTCATGGAAGGCATAGATTCAGGAATGAAATCTAAAATTCGTTGCTTAATAGATTCAGCAATGACTTGATCAATATCTTCACTGGTCAACATTTCAACCACTGATGAAAGATCCATAAAGGAAAATCCATCGTATTGAGAGTGATAAATTTCTGGTGTGAAATTTCATGTGTGAAAAAAAAATCGTATAGTCACCACACTATAACATTTTCCTACTATACCTACTTGCAATTACATTCTCAGGATAACCATGATATCTCAACCACAAGACCACGTCCTCACATTTCCAATCCTTAATATTTTTCTGAAGAACTCTTTGAATGGTATCGTAATTCAAATCCATGAGAGGAGCGAAAAGTTGTGGTAGCGCTCCTACTTGTAATTGTTGGAGAGGAGTTTTCTGTTTCATCTGTTGCGATAGATCCGTGATACGTTCGTCGACATTGAGAGGATCCTCATTTCGAACATCTTCATCATTGAGTGGTTGTTGATAAGAAATGGCAGGAGATTCGTCTTGTGGTTGTCCATTCTGTGAAATTGACATTTCATTTCGATTCTTGGACTCATATTGAGGTGGAGGAGGATTCGACTGAAAGACTACTACTTGTGGATGAATACTTTGATAAGAAGGTGGTAATGGTGGATTCGTCACGACAGGTGGCATATTAGGGATAGATCTCTGACCTAGCTCAGTAAATGGATATTGAGGTGGTGAAATCATTCCTTGAGATTGATAGGGAGGAGGAGGTTGAATTGTTTGTGGCACATTTTGATAAGATGGAGGAGGTCGAGTGGGATTTGTTGCTACTACTTGATGGTAAGGAGGAGGAGATTGAACCGTTATTGAGGTTGGCTTTGTAAAACTGTAAGAAGGAGGAGGAGGTTGCATGATGACATTTGACGTTGTGACAGGATGTGGACTGGTGGAATAGTTTGGAGGAGGTTGAATGTTTAAATTCAATTGAGTTGAGAAAGATTTTTGCAGATCTGGATAGAGAGGTGGAGCAGTTGCTTTAGGAATGTTCACTTGTGCCGTGGCATTGCTGGGAGTGTCAGATGTCAATATTTCAGGTAATGTTGAAAGATCCAATTGTTCAAATTCATCCAATTTTTGAGAAAGACGTTCGGCTTGATCTTTTTCCAATCCACAATTTTCGATTATAAATGAAGAGGAATGGTCGATGAGAGCAAACCATCAAATCCATCTTGTTCCATATCTGGAAATATTTGTGAATAATATTTTGAATTTTAAATTCCGAAATAATTTAGAAATTAATTTTTCGAACACTCACTTTCAATTATTGAATTTGGAAAATTATGAAATTTCAAAAAATTGACTAAATCTGTGGTGGACCATGCTTTGATGGGTTTGCGAGGAAGTTGTGGAGATGACATTTTTTTTCGTGAAACTGCCAAACGTCATCAAATTCAATTTACGACCTTGAGGCCCATAAATAGTCTACAAAAAAAAATGTGGTTCAAATCATCATCGGTGCAGTCTGTTGATTCATCCCTATCATCCATAGTATCTACAACCATTGATGTCAAAGAAATTCCAATCGAACAGTGGTCGGTCAATGACTTGGTCCTTTTTCTCGTCGAATGCGGAATTAAAAAAGAAGTCATTGAAAGTACGTTTAACATCGTTCAGGAACCATCCTTTTTGAAAACCAAGATTACTTGTTATTTATATTTAATATTTTAATAATTTTTTATAATATTTATAATATTAATGTAAAATTATTTGGAACTCAAATTTCACACATTCCGACAGAAATTGCATCTCATCACATCGATGGTGCTGCTCTCTCCGATATTACCATCTTACAAAAAATAGGAATTCCAAAAGGAACATACATTTCATTGTGTAATCGAATCAATGAATTGAGACATCAACAAAGTCAAAAACAACAACAAGAAGATGATCAAGAAATGCATAATCTTGAATTGGATATTAAAAGTTCGATGTATTTGGGAACTACATCTGCTCCATTGTCTGAATCGTCAAACAATCAGAATGAAAAACTAGTAGAGATTGGAAAATGGGATGTTGAAAAGTTTTCATTTCAAATGAAAGAGAGTATGTTTACAATGTGTGAAACCAGTCAATAATTTTGATTTCAATTATTATTGAATTATTTTTGAATAATAATGAAATTATTTAAATTAATTTTCCTTTGTAGATCACATGATGTGCATGCCAAAAGTTGAAAAAGCACTCGCGACCAGTTCTTCCTCAGAACGAGAAATTGAATGTCAAAATTTAATCATTCCTTCCAGATACATGTACAAGTATTTTAATCCATTAAGAATACCTCAAAGTGAATTGAATTTGGCTTTAAAAAATCAACTTCCTTTCATGAAACTGAAATTGGTCGTGACTGAGCTCAGTACTACTTCAGGACATCGATTCCTTCGAAAATTTGGAAGTATTTTTGGAGCATCAAAAAAAACAACATATGGAATGGTAAGTGTGTGAAATTTCAAAAAGGATAATTTCACAATTTCATGATCAATTCACACTCTCAATGTTTACGATATTGATATGTATTTGCGAAATTTTTTGTTGGAAATTTCCTCTTTCGACAGTTTCACACGGCGTTAATTGTTGGACCATGGTACATTGAGTGGGGAGATTCATCCATTGTCGTTCCACGTAGTCGATCTTCATCAAAAGCTGTTTTTACGATTGATGTTGGACGTATTGAGGGTCACGAGAATATTTCACAAGCTCTCAAAGCTTTGGCCACATTGTGTTGTCGTTGGAATTGTCGAAAAATGTATCACAACGAGACTTGTAATTGTCAACACTTTGTCGAAGAAATAATTTCAACCTTACAATTAACGTCATCATTTGAAAAAGCAATTAAGGGACCTATTCGATTATATTTTGACAAATTAAAGTCCAAAGGCGTGTGTGACATGACGTATGAAGTTTCACAAGATATTCGACAAAAAATTTTGGAACACGAACATACCAGCGACGATTTGAAACAATTATTGAAACAACATTCTAAAATCGAATTCAAAACTCATGCAATTTTGGACGAATTTGTACAACTAGTCAAGGAATTATCTCCACTTTATTTCCAATTTTCAGGAGAATATGAATATCAATTATTGAAAGGCTTCGATCGTGCCTTTTGGTTACGACATTCATCATTGAAAGCAAATCAGACACTGCTTCGTTGCCGAGAATGCATCCAGAAACTATGGTCGTTTATGTCCATTTAATTCTCAACAGAATGTTCAATTGCAAAATGTTCACATGACTGTGAAAGGTCAAGATTATGAATTGTCGACCGTTAACATGTCCATTCCAAGTCCATATTATGGAGTTTAAATGTTGTCCTTTCCACCAAAGAATATTCGATCGTCTGTTCATGAGAGCTATTTCTCGCTGTCACTTGTATTTGTTATGGAAAGAAAAATTTGACAACAAAACATTTTCACAACAACCTTTAATAATAACAAATAATTAAATCAACGCCGTTTAGACTTGTTCTTTTTCGAGTTTTCATATCTTTCGAGGACCTTCTTGGAATTGGAGAGGGTGGTAATTGATCATCTGATGAATCATCTTCAGCGTAATCGTTATTCCAGTCAAATGGAGATCCATATGGACTATTATATCCATCACATTCATCATCGCAATCCATTCTCAAAGAGATCAAATTCTTAAAAAATTCCATATTTTCAATACATTCTCTATTTTCATCTGAAATCAAGTTTCTACTTAGATCCAAACTTGTAAGATTTACCAAACATTCATTATTCGCAAGAAATGGTATCGCTTTGCCTTCAATACAATTGGAACTGAGATTTAAATACGTAAGGTTTTGAAAATATTCACTATTAGCAAAACATTGAATTCCTTTGTTTCGTATTCTATTGGAACTCAAATCCAACCATCTAAGATTTTTCAAATATTTACTTGTAGCAATATATTGAACTCCTTTTCTTCCAATACCATTACCTCTCAACTCCAAACATGTAAGATTATTCAAATGTTCATTATTGGCAATATGTTTAACTCTTGCATCCCAGATTCTATTTTCATTCAATGTTAAACAAGTAAGATTCTTCAGATGTTCAGGATTTGCCTTATATTCTGCACCTTCTGTACCAATATTGTTATAATTTAGGGTTAAATATTTTAAACTTTTCAACCGTTCACTATTGGTAATATATTCAACACTTCTGTAGCTAATTTTTGAGTTTTTTAGAGACAATGAAGTCAAATTTTTGAAATTTTCACTATTAGCAATATATTTAACTCTTCATCGTCAATGTTATTACGATATATATAGTCCCAACATTGTCTCTTGTTGCTGTTTAGTCTTAGAGAAGTTAAATTTTTCAAATAGTTGCTATTAGAAATAAATTGAACTCCTTCGTTGTCAAGGTTGCAATGTAGGTTCAGAGAAGTTAAAATTTTTAAATTTTCACTGTTAGCAATTAGTTTGGCTAAACAATTATTACCATCTCCATAGAATGTAATTTTCAAACAAGTCAAATTTTTAAAATAGTTACTGTGAGCAAGACACTTGATTCCTTCAATACCAATGTCATTGCGATTTATATTCAACGAAGTCATGTTCTCCAAACATTCGCTATTTGCGAGATGTCTTATAAGTTGTGGGGGAGCAAAAATGGAATGGTAAACAGGAACTGTAATAGATAAAGGAATTCGAAATGCCACTTGTCTCCATTGTCTTGAAATTTTCATACAGACTTTAATGATAAACCATGAGGGAAAGTAATGAAATATTTCATAGAGAATGTCATCCACGAGTAGTAACCAGATTTTTCTCTTGGATTTCTTTTTTTGGTATTTTTTCAATTTCTTCTCATTCATGTTTCAGAGTATGATAGAACGAGAAGATGACAAAGAATGTGGTGGTGTTTTTTTGTTCAACAAGCTCGGTTGGATTGAAAATTTGATTAAAGTTGTCAACACATCAACGTCAAGGTTAGAATGATCCTAAATAGCAAGTTATCACCTCTCGTTCACGAATTCAAGAATTGAGCAACCTTCAACTCACTGTAACATGAAAACTGTAAAATGTTGTTCATGACTTTAAGCAAGTAACGACCACTTCAACTCCTAAAGTTGAACATTTAAAAAAATGCCAAGATGGCTTTTATCGTTCATTGATCTCATGGGAGCATCATCAAATCTAAAACCTCGTTGGATGTGAGGATTTCTCCTCTCATCTCGATTCCGATACTCAAATTGAAGAACATGTGTTACGTTCAAATATTCGAGAAATTTCAATTAAATATTGGACGAATGAACATGTTGTTCAATGGTTACGGGAAGAAAAATATGATAAAAGCGCAGTTATTGATGGTAGGTGTGGGAAGTACAATCAAAAAAACAATTATAAATTCATAATTTATTTTTTGAAATATGTTAATATAATTAATTATTCACTGAAATTATTTCACAAATATGTAAATAATAGTGATTACAAAACACCAGCTTAATGGAGAATTGCTATTATTCATTACCGAGGACTATTTGAAATTGTTGCAAATACCTTTCGGAGCAATTCAATCAATTCTTATCAAATTAAGAAATTTAGTTCAAACTCAAATCGATCAACAAATACTAAAACCTTCGGATTTACCACCTGAAAATATATTTTATGCATGTGAAAGTCAATCTCCTTCGATATCTCTGTGTACTAATTGTGATGTAAAAGTAATGACAGACTCAGCGATAACATTTGACAGCTGTCAGACGAATAGCTCCATTGATTCGTCCCAACCAACCTTACCAGCCGTTCCTTCTTACTCTGGAAAAACACAAGGCTTGGAAGAAAATGAAGATTATACATGTGAACTGGCAACGGATGAAATATGTCAAGTTAGTGACTACTATCAACCAAAAAGTGCATTTTCAATGTTATTAACAAAATGGTTACTAGTATAGAAGATCTTAAGACGTGGAAAAGTTGTCTACTTTACACAAAGATCGTAAGTGGTTGGTGAGAATGTTTATTCGTATTGAAAATTATTTAAATCTTTGAATGGAATGTTCATTATTTACTCCTTTTGGACATGTATTCTGCAGATCGACAACGATGTATGAAAAAAATTGACAAAATTGCCAAAATTCTGCCCTCTGAAGAAAAGGAAATTCTTTGTCAGAATTTAATATTTCCAGATCGATTCATGAACAATTATCTAAATCGATTACCTCCATCATCATTACAAAGCTCCAAAACTCAAACAGATTCCTCTGATTGTAAAATTAAGATTATAGTCATTGAAATGAATGAAATCCAAACTCAGAGATACAACAAGAGAGTTGGTACCAGCGCTAACTTTTTAGTAAGTAATTCTTTCAACAATTGCCTTATTATTTACAATGTAAATATTCGGTAAAGTTCCATAGTGCCTTAATAGTTGGACCCTGGTATATGGAATGGAATGACTCATCGTTGGTAATCCCACGACCACTCACTCAAATAGACTCGATCATTCATGACCTACAAGTTTTCACACTTGACATTTGTGCCATTCAAGACCAAAAAATTCTAGACAAATTGGTGACACTCTGCATGAGTTACAACATTTCAAAACATTATCATTTTCAACATTTTATTGAACAATTTTTGGAATTTATTGAAGTGAAATCAGAATTTGACAAATTATTGCAAGGTCATGATTTTATCAATTTCTTTTTTGAACAATTACGTCAACAAGGAGTGATTCGAGACGTGTCTCTTTTCATGAGCGCATCTATCAGAGAATACATTCTCAACTCCAATTCTTGTAGCCATGAATTGAAAGAGCTTGTGTCTACTCAACCCTACTCTGAAACGATCATTTCATTTCATTCACATGTTCTGTTCGATGAATATGTGAATACTATTTTAGAACAAGATGCTTCTTATTTTTTACTGAACCATGGCAAGTTGGAATTTGAATTTTTAAAGAAATTTGATGACATGTTTTGGAGGCATGCAACAAAATTGACAAGTTCCAATCCATCCAGCCATGTAAAGATGAATTGTCCTTTTCATCAGGATGAAGATTTTAAGAAATAATTTTTTATCGTTTTAATTTCAAACAAATCACAACGATGATGAATGACCACAAAAATCTTCACACGATGACTTTCTTGTTCAAATGGCAATTTTAATGACTTGTCGATTAAGCCAGTGAAAGAGATCATCTTTAAGATATTTTCACATCAAAAAAAAATGTCAGAATCCACAGAAACCACTCCACCAACCATCGAAGAGATTCTTCGCGTGAGAGATCGTCTCGAACAACTCATTTCTCTCACCGACAACAAGACTCGACGATTTGCATGGCCTTCCGATGATGAAATGTATTCAGAAAGTGAAAAAAAGTTTTATCTCTATCTTGGGATGAAAATTAATTGTCGACGAAAGGCGAATGAATTACAAATCGACAAATTTGATGAGAGAAGATTTGAACAACGAGAAACAAATATAAGAATGAAGTTTCTGATTTATTTTTTACCATGTGTTTACGTAGGTTATGATTGTGAAATTTTATATATCTGTATCATTCTGAATTTCCTAATTCATCCATTCAAATACAAACCGTTGATTCGATTAATTTCAAATCTATTCACACATTAGAAAAGGAAGCCATTGGTACACCTCCATGTCTAAAAAAGTATGAAAATCTCTCTCTTTTAGAACACCAATTCAGTGCCAAAGAACGAAAAGAATTATTTTCTGATCTCTTATCATGTGCCTACATGAGTGAAAGTCCAACTAAACAACCAGTCTATCAATTCTATGACAAGGTTGCTCTAGATCGATATTTATTGATTCGCGAATATGAAAATCAATTTATTTATCAACCTGGATCACTCAAAACAATGCCTTCTCTCTATCATGCTTTTACCACACAAATTCCTGATCCTCGTGACAAGTTAGAAGGAGACAATATGGATCAACTCACCGAAGAGGACATTTCCAAATTGAAAATTTTGTTTCAAAAATTTAACTATGAAAAACAATTCAATCACATCTTGCAAGATTATCAAAACATTTCAAAATTTCCACCCTTGTTTTTGGCATTTGCAAATACGGCTTGCATTCCCTATTGTAGAAAACATGTCATGAATTGTTTGAGAAATGTACTTGAGATCAGAAATGTGTTCAAAGCGAAAGAAATGGATGATTCTGCTGTTCTTGATCAAGTCACTCTTGAAGAGGCCTATCATTGTTTATATGAACCATGTTGTGCCAAGGTGTCAAATTTAATCGATCATGTGAAAAATATGGAAACTAAAAGTAAGATTTAATGAATGATAGAGAATTGTCATTATCATGGATAGATGGTTTTCAATAAAGATAGAACTCAATCGGGATTGAATTTTTATTGAATTTTTATTGAATTTTGAAAAAACTGGTGTGAAGTTCCAAATTCACCTAAAAATTACAAAAAAAAAAATGTCTTTACCCGATCATGAAGATTTCACTTCTCGTACGAGCATGATGACGATTTTCGGAAATGATTTGATCTTGGAGATCATTGGAAATTATCTTGAACTTGTGGATATTCTTTCATTGTCGTCGGTTTGCCAAGTCATTTCCTTTTCAATTTCAAATCTTTCCATTTGGAAAAATTATTATTTCGATCATTTACGAGCATTTGAGAACTTTAGATCGAATTTTGAATCCAATTCACCAAGTAAAAAATATACATTCCTCGAAATCTTCATCATTATTACTACCAACAACTCTTCAACAAGATTCAACTTTTATGGAAATGATTCAAAATTACAAACATGAATTAGCTCTTCTTCTAAAAGCAAGTGAAGGCAAAAGATTTATGCGTGAACATGTCTTGTTGAAAAAAAACATGAAAAGTTATATTCCATTCTTACCAACAAAGTGGATCTCACGAGGTTGTACCGTTTGTTTTGTTGGAGATGTTTATCAAGAAGATACATTTTGTTATTTGTGTGGAGAACCAGAGACGACAAGTGTGATTCGACCATTCTTGTGTGAAAAATCTGTTCGTATCCATGGAAAAGACATGTTGTTATTGAGAACCGTGTGTTCAGATGATTACAAACGACTGCGACAAGTCATGTATCCAGCATGTGATTTGATTGTATTTTGTTATTCATTGAGAGATGATTCTTTATTGGGACCACTCTCCACACAATTGATTGAGGAAATTCGAGAGAGTGTTCGACATTACATTCCATCCATGGTTTTGTTTTCGTTAAATGGAAAGAGTCAAGAAACATCTCAAGAACATATTGAGGCACTTCGAAAAGGAGGAGAAAAACTTGCCCGAGAAGTCACAAATTCGATCACTTTGGTAGAAATAGATATTTCGAATTCGAGTAAGGATCAATCAAGATGGGATCAAGAACGCCAAAGAGTGATTGAAATCATGTATCGAATTCTGGTGCTTCATGGTTTGACAAGTTCAAATAAGACCGTGTCTCGCTGCAGTATTTGTTGATGATGTGTACAAAGTGGCCTTAGCCCAGCATGATAATAACAGTGTATGAATAACAGTGTAAGAGATTGAAATGTTTCGATATGCGACCGAGCTTCAAGGATTCCATTTTGATGAAGTGTTCAATGTTTAAGAGAACACTAGAGTTACGGCATGTGAAAATTCAATAAACATCATGATTCAGTGACAGATATGATCGTTTTATGGCGATCAATATTCATCCATACCCTCCTCATTGTTCACTGCAGAATCGTGTTCAAAGTCGTCATCGTCCTCTTCAAAAGAAAGACAAAAAGGGAAAAAATCCCTCGCGTTCTCGTAATAACCTGCATCCACTGGCGATAAAACTCCAAGCAATAACCATTCGTATAATAACGTAGTCACTCCACGTTCAAATCCAATACTCGACTCTGGTTGTTCTTTGTTTCTGAAGAGTGATTTTCTTTCTTCTCGAGTGAATTTCTCTGTGTCCAACAACACTGTTTTGACAAGTGCAAGCATCTTGGAATCGTGGTTCGACGAACACTCCGTTTCAACTAAACCACGATCATTTCGGAACAAGGAATTGGAAAAAAACTCACAAGAGTTCACTAAAACCGTTTCACGATAATCATGATTGCTATATTCCGAGTCAAAATCGTGTGAAGAAGCTGTAGAAAAACTAAACGGAAATCCACAATCAGAAAAGACAACATAATCCAACGTCTTGTTATCAGAATCAGCTATGTCAACTCCTGTCACATAAACACCTTTCAGCTTGCCAAAAAGTTTGTTTACCACTATTGGCGAAATTATTATATCCTCAATATTCTGTGGTTGTGTGAAAAACTTATTCATACTTTCCAACAATTCCACTTGTTGTTGCTCAATTTGAAGTAATGTTTCAATTTTGTTAAGACGGTGTTTAACTTCTTTGGACTCGAGGTGTTGTGATGATGGAACAGATTTGGGAAAAGTATTCATAAAAAAATCATAGCTTGTTAAATTTTGATTCATTTGTTTGACATGATCTCTATTGTGTAGCTCCACAAAAGTTTCGAGAATGAGCCAATAAGTATGCGCTTGGGGTTTCTTTGTTTCCTTTGAAGTTTTCTTTGAATATTTTCTCTTCTTTGTTTTTGGTACAAGAGTCAACTCTTCATCATCATCAAGCGCAAAACATCGATTCGCAACATTCATCACATGATTCAATTTTTCCAACTGCCTTTCATTCAATGAAAACACATTCCGTAAATAATCTCTAGCAAATGATTCTGAATGGAAACATGAATAAAAAGTCTTGCTTATCAAAAAAGGTTGAAGCCTTCTCCATTCCGAGTGATGAGAAAATTGCAAAATCAAGGATGAAACAAGAGAATCAAATGAGGCCATTTTTTTTCAAGTTAGAAGAGAACTTTGAAAAATATTAAGAAACAGATTCATTAAATGATGTTGTTGAAACACTGTGTTGACACCTTTACGAAATCTTAATTGGAAAACACATGTGATGGAATTTCAACAAAAAATGTCTTCAAGTCAGTCCTCTCAACAATCTTCATCACAACAAATTTTCAAAAAACGACCCATCTTGTATCTGCTGGGAGACTCCATTACTGAACAATCCACACGTTTGAATGGTTTACATTCACTCCTACTCGACTGGTATTCAGTAAAAGTCGATATCATCAACCGAGGATGTTCAGGATATAATTCCGATATGATTTTGGAGGCTTTAAAAAACAATTTCAATGAAGCCTTTTATGAATGTACTTGTCGTAGGGTACAAACAAATCATCATCATAATTCAAACAAGGAATTAATTGCTAATGTTCCATCAAATTCTTCATCATTACCCACTGTTTCTGTTTTTATTTGTTTAGGAGCTAATGATGCCAGTAGTGAACATGTTTCAGGTGGTGTCAAACAACATGTTCCTCTCGTACGATATTCCGAGAATTTACAAGCCATCATTCAATTGTTGAAAACAAATCTCGCATATGCGAGATTGGATATTTTACTTTGTACGCCTCCTCCTGTTCATACTTTGCAATATGCCAATTATTTGAAAGAAAAGCATAACGATGATGGAATTATAGAAGTGAGAAGTGAAGCATTGGTGAGACCCTATGCACAAGCTGTGAGAGATTTAGTCGAGCAATATCACACAAAAAAGACATTGGAGGATGATTGTTCTAATTTCGCAATACATTTGGTTGATTTATGGAAAGGTAGTAGCAATGTGGAGGCATGGAAACAACAGAGTGCATTTACTGATGGATTGCATTTATCAAGTGATGGATATAGAATCGTTTTTAAATGTCTGAAATCTGTCATTTCCAAACAAGTGCCACATTTCAATGCTGATGCAATGTCATTCTCTCATATTTATTGGAGAACGTACTTGGAATTGGTTCAACAGAATGGTTCAGAGCAACATCAACAATAGTAGTAGTAGCAATCATCATCATCATGACATGATATTCAATAACATGTGACACCAATGCCCTACAACCATGGTTGTTTCGATCAAATATATCTTCATATGAATTCGGCTCTAAAATTACGTTTTTCTCAAAGATGGTATGTCTCTCTAATTACTGAGAAACGGTGTGGAGAGATCTGTCGCATTGATCGAAAACCAAATTAAGCGAGAGCTCATCAAATTCCAAAAAAAATGCCTCAATTCAAACTGCATATTTCGTTATGGACGACCCTTAGGAGCAACATGAAAACTACGATTCCGAGGAGGCAAATAGATTCCCCTCATCGGAAATGGTCATTATTGATGATCTCTCTAATATTCATCATCATGATAGTTTCATCACCAGCTGATTCCGTAACTGGTAATGGTGTGAGAGCCTCAGATGTAAATTCAGCAAAGGCATGTCATTCCAAACTGGCCAAGAATTTAATATTCGAGAAAGTTACATCATTGTATCGGGGAAAGGGAGAAGATGGAAATTTGTATGAAACGCAAATCGAGAGCATGATGGATCTACAAATGAAATCCGTGATTAAGGAATGTACAGGAGTTTCCTTATTGTTCAACCCGACAGATATCAAATCGTATCGATTGGCCCTTTCTTCAGAGTCTGATTTGCTCGAGTTGTCGAAAAAGAGTCAATTCGAACGTGTCATTGAAGAGATTTCCAAGTTACCGTTGATGTCATGTCAGCACAAAGTGGTTGAATCGCTTGTTGGAAAAGAAGCCCTTCTATTTGTGGAAAGAAAACTGCAAGTGACCACAAGTCTCATCGGTGACTACTTGAAGGAAACATTGCATAATGTTCCAAATAGCCAAGGCGAAGTGACATGTGCAAAGAGCATGAACCAAATATTTAAGTCCTTAGATACCATGCTCACCAAAGAGGAGAAGCTATCATTGACCGAGCTGATACAAGTGATACCCATTGGAGGTTCATTGGTAGTGGTTTCATCGGACAAGCAACAAGGGGCTGTTTCATTATTTGAAAATCTTGTTGGCCCTCACGAGTATGTCATTTCAATATCATGGCTGTTCATTGCTGTCATGGCAATTTCCGGAGTGATTATGCATTGCATTAATGTACGCGTTCAAACAGCACTCAAAAATCAAATTGAATGTGTCAAACAAGAAAAGTTGCAACAAGAAATTGTCTTCAATGAAAAGGAAAAGAATTTACAGCAAAATATCTCAAATTTGAATACAAATTTGGAGAGAAAGGAAAGTGAAATTGTAGAAACCAAAACATTTTATGAGCAACAAGTCGAGTTGGAGCATCAAAAGCTCGTTGAATTTGAAAATAAGGCCTCACAGATTCAAGAACAAATTTGCAACGAGAATAAGCAATTGGAATGTCTTCTCAAAGATCAGGAACTCAAGGTCTCCACTTTGTCCAATAGTCTCGCTACACTCTCCCAAGAACGATCGCAAATTGAAAAAGAAAAACAGCAATTAATGAAGAAAACTGAAATTTTGGATAGCAGTTTGAAAGGTACCATAGAAGAGAGCACTGAGTTGCGTGATCTGTGCAATAATTTGAGAGATCAATTGAGAGAAAAACACTCCCAGTTGGATAAGGCCTTTGCCAAGAATATTGAACTGCAGGAATCCATCGACCTATATGGTACTGAATTGAAACGTATGAGAGATGTCATTGAGAATGTGTCAGAGCAACATTTAAAAAACACAACAGAGAAGCTACAACTCGAAGAAGACTATCGATATCTAACCATGGAAAAGCTGTCGTTCGAACAAGAGAGAAAGGACTATCAAGTCAAAATTGAACAACTTGTACAACAACAAGCTCTCACCGAACAATTTATTGAGTCTGAAAAGGAACGTCTTCAACAATTGTTTAAGCAACTCGAGGATGAAATGACTAGAATTGAGAAGGAACATTTACTCAATGTTTGCCGAATGACAGAAAACAAACAAGTCATTCAATTGGATAAAGAAGCCACCATCATTGCTCAAATCTTGAATCTGAAAAAGATGGTGTCACAAGCCAGTTTAATGGGTGGAGTGATGATGTCTTCACCAAGAAGCCCTTCCTCACGCAACAATTTCAACAATGCTACAAGTGCAACTTTGACCTTACGAAAAGACAGAGACACGAATGCAGCTGAATCCAAGCAACATGCCACGAGTACCTCAAAGGAAAAAGACATGATCTACACAAGCATGCCTCCGTTGAGGGTATTTAGCTCACCTCGAAAATTGCAATAATACTGTCATCGAGATGGTACCAAAATGACATGTAATAACACGTTTGTGTAATCTGTAAATATTGTATAATGTATACTTGTGAATCTCGAGATGATATGTGTCGACAATGCATATGATTATCGCTGAATTGAAAGAAATGAAAAAGTTTGAGGGTGAACGTAATAAGGAAAGTCGTTCATTTGTCATATCTCTCCATAATTATCATCAAAGAAGCCTTCATCGATCTTTGAAATGCATTGACGTGTTAAACCAGAAAACGGTGAGGGAGAGAGAAACACGGTTGATATCGCTGTAGTGAGACTTCATTCAAAAAAGAATTCAAAAATGAACAGTGAGGAATTGCTTGCTCAATTAATGGATAGCAAGAAGAAGGCTCGTCCACGATTAGGTTCCGTTAAAATGGATGCCAACACTCCCTCGGACTCACTCATGAAGGGAGGAGCAGGCATCGGAAGTAGTGGTGGTGTAAATGTTGTACAGGAGCATTCAAAACATTTGAAATGTAAGTAGTGTGTTGTGCTGGGGTTGTATGGATGAGATTGGCATTTTGTATTATTTTTGAACTTGCACCATCATTAATGCCTTATTTGACGCTTATCAAAATTTGAATTTCCAAATCATCATGATCATCCGGAACCGAAATGACCATGATCGGGAAAACCCATTCACGCATGAACAAATGACGACGAATGGTTGTTCTTGGTTATACTTCTCTCATGACGCGTTGTTGCAATGAATTGTTGTGCCTCCTCATTCCAATCATGCCAAATAGTAACACAAAAGGATATGAAAATTCTTTTAGCCAACTTTAAGAAGAAGAGTGATAGTAAGGGTCGAATCAATCGGGAACAATTCGAAGAGGTGATCCGAACCACCTTGTCAAGTTCTCTAGATCATCAGGCACTCGCTTCCGTAAATAAGATTTTTGATGTTTTTGATAGCGATAAGACTGGACACGTCGATTTTGTTGAACTCTCTACTGGTTTGAGCAATACCTTGTACACTGATAAGAAGGAGCTATTGAAGTGTAAGTATTGCTAAGTGGTGAGATCATTGGGCGATAACCTCACCAAAATATAACAATTATCATTCGTCTATTTTATTTATCTTGACCTCTTTAATGCACAGTTGTGTACAGCTTGATTGATATCAACAACGATGGAACCGTTGAAAAGAATGAGCTATTAGCATTCTTCAAGAAGTTTTACCGTAAGTACTTGTAGTATTTTCGGGGGTTTTTGTGAGAACAAAGCATTGTTCCTTGTAATTATATTAATCCAACATTGTATCATGTCAAATATGACACATACAGTTGGACAAGCCAAAATGAATGGATACAGGCTCTCGCATGAAAGGTGGCATACGTTGGAACAACATCTTTCCTTTGCATTCGATCGAATGGATTTAGACGGAAGTGGTGCAATTGACTATGAAGAATTTATTGTTGCTGTCAATGATCCAGACTCTGCACTAGGCTATGCTTTTTATAACTGCATGAAATTTTAAAACCAAAAGCAAACTTTCATCAACAATAAAATGTAAAGAGAGTTCTTTGTTTTGGTTGAACGACCTGGATATCCAAGCAAATCCCGCCAAACCAAAAATATTTGAAAAATTCACAAAAAAAAATATCGAAAACCCACACTTGGTTGCCTTACCACTCATCATCACTACACCATCACCCATGGCATCCAAAGAATTTAATTCAATCTTGCTCGGTCGTACGGCCGGACCACAAGGTACACTCACAGTTGATGCAAAAAAAGATGAAACATTTATATGGAAACCTATAGGTAACGAAGCGATCATATCATCAGGAAGTTCTGTCGTTAAAAAGAACGAAATTGAAAAGTTTGAATGGCTCTACACAACAAAAGGTTTTTGCTTGCGGATTTGGAAGGACAATGAAGATATGGTCGAATACATTGGATTTAAAGAAGCCGATTATGATGCTTTAGAATCACAAATTACACAATTACAATTAGAAAATGATAAGCCATTTAACAAGGTTGACGCTTGCGTAACTGGTGTCAATTGGGGCAAACCAGCCATCAAAGGAAACAACATGACCATGTATTTTGATAATAAGGAAATCTTTTCAATTTCACTCGCCGATGATGTCAAAAACTGTCAAAACATTCCAAAGAATTCTGAATTAGTACTAGAGTTCAGAGACGATGATCCAGCCGATAAGAATTCGATACAGCTCACTGAAATTCGGCTAGTATGTCCGGAAGATACCGATGAAGACGGAGCTGCAGAAGATGGAACAAAAGAAAAGAGCACTGAAAAGAAACAAAATCCATACTCGGCTGAAACACTTCATGAAGAAATTGCTAAAAGAACAGCCTTCTCCAATGATACTGCCAATGCCATTGCTTCATTTTCTCAAACGCCTGTGGTCATTCCTAGAGGTAAATACAATGTCGATCTCTACAAGAATAACCTCAGATTATACGGTAGAACTTATGCTCACAAGATTTTCTACAAACAAATTTCCACACTCTTCCTTCTTCCAAAACCTGACGAGAAACACATGTATTTGGTACTTAGCTTGGATGTACCTGTTAGACAAGGTCAAAAATCTCATTTCCATATTGTCTTTCAGTTTGATAAGGAAGCCAAAATCAAACCAGCAGATCCACTCCAACTTAACTATGATCCAAATGACTATCCAAAAGATGCACTCTCTCCCACAATGAGCGGAAAGACTTATGAAGTTTTTGCAAAAGTTTTGAGAGCCTTGACAGGAAAGAAACTCATTGGACCTGGAAAGTACAATAGTTTCCATGGCAAGAAGGGAATCAAGTGCTCACTCAAAGCCAACGAAGGATTCTTGTTCTTCCTTGAAAAATCTGTCTTCTTCCTTCACAAACCTGTTATTTATTTGAGACATGACGAAATCAAATCCATCAAATTCCAAAGAGCTGATACGACTGGAAGTGGCTCGAGATTCTTTGATTTAGTTTTTGTGTTAAAGAATGGTAAAAATCACACCTTCTCCAACATTGACAAGAATGAATACGACGCTCTTGCAGAATTCCTTCCAAGTAAGGGTCTCAATGTTGAAAATATCATTTCTAGGGAACAACCAAATATTAATGAAATACTAGGAGGTGAAGACGATGAAGAAGATGACGAAGACTTTGTTGATTCCAAGTCCGATGAAGAGGCAGAGGAGGAGGAAGATGACGACGAAGAATTTGAAAAGTTCGTGGAGGAAAAGGATGCCCTTCAATCCGAAACGGAAGCACTTCTTAAAGATGCTGGTGACATTGACGATTTGTCAAGTAAGAAGCGAAAGAAAGCAACTAGCAGCAGCACCAGTGACGATACTTCCTCTGACCCAAAATCAAAGAAGAAGAAGCAGTAATTTAGTAAAAAACTACTTGTTCACATGTTTCGTTTGGGTGACTGATTAAGGTTGTTTAAACGTGTCGTGCTGAACTCGTGTGGATGTGTTCCCATTGTTCTCTTCTCTCCCTATGAGAAACCTATTTATGATTATTGGCATTCAATATTAAAAATTGACACCCTAGATGGGACTGTTTAGGAAATTTGTATATCCAAGTTTACAAAACATCACAGAGACACTTCTTTGATTTTGGGTCAAACTACTTGTTCACATGCTTCGTTTGAGTGCCTAATTAAGGTTGTTTTAACATGTATTAATTTTTAACGGCGGTATTGGTGATTCAGGAAGTATGGGTGAGCAGCTATCCAAGTTTACAAAAAATCATGCTGCAACCTCCTTCGGCACGTGTCGCTCTAGCAAGCACTTGCAAAAAAAAATATCAAAACATCTTTCCTCCAATCATCACCTTGGCAAGCCTTGCGATTGATTTCTGAGAGAAGGAAAATTCATCATCATCGTATTACCGAACTCGTTTCCCATAGTTACTACTGGTTTTGTAAAGATCTTCTTTTCTAGTACAATCCTACTACTATAAGAAAAGATTAATCTTTGTTTTACTTCATACAATTAAGTGTGCTTGTTTTCCCACTAGATAGTGTGTATTCATTCTTTTTTCATCATCATGTCTGCTTCCCTCGACGGTATTGTCAAATCAGTGGTTAGTGGTAACACCATCAAAGTTTGCCATCCTCAAAGAGCTGATAAAGAGAAAGTGTTAGTACTTGCCGATGTCAAGACTCCACGTATTGGATCCAAAAACGATGAAGACGAGGTATGTTCTTATCCAATAGTTGTTATAAATTAACTCATCGTGAATCATTATATATTTGCTCGTTATGATTTACATTGGTACAAACGACTTGAATTATATCATCCAATGTATTATTGCTGATTCATTATAATCATCGTTCTCAATTGAAATATTTCAATTCGTCTGATTAACAACATCATTGGTACAACAACAACATTCTGGATCACTCTTTCCACTCCGTATTGTTATTATTATGGATTCGGATAATGACCACCATCATTCAAATGACACACGATCATCATCATGTGGCTCATGATTCTCTTCGAATAGCCTTTTGCCTTCGAAGCAAGAGAATTCTTGAGAAAGAAGCTTGTTGGTAAGCCAATCAAGTTCAGAGTCGATTACACTGTGAAAGAAACCGGCTTGAATTATGCCACCATCTTTTTGGGCGACGAAAATGTGAACGAGGCTGTTGTGGAGGCTGGTTTTGGTGAAGTCAAAGAGGTCAAGAATCCAAGCGAGGATCACAAGAGATTGCTCGAACTCCAAAAAGTTGCCAAAGAAAACAAGATTGGAAGATGGGATTCTGGCAACAAAAAGATTGCCAAGACATCATCCAACAATGCCGAAATTGATACCCAACAATTGTTGAAATCATTCAAGTCGAAGGCCATCAATGTCATTGTCGAATATGTACTCAATGGTGCTACTTTGAAGGTCAGACTTCCAACTCATGAAGTTGTCTTGTTGAATTTAACTGGTGTCTATTGCCCACTCTTCATCAAGAATAAGAAGGAAGGAACAGAACTTGCTCAACCTTTCGCAAAGGAAGCCAAGCTTCACACTGAATATCGTTTGTTGAACAGAGATGTTACTGTTTTGTTTGAGGGTATTGATAACACTGGTAACTTGCACGGAAGTATCATTATTTCTGCCGATGAAACCAGCGATAAGCCAGTCACTTATCAAGAAGAATTGTTATTGACTGGTTATGCATCTGTC